CAAGATTTAATCCAATTACTCAAAGCCCCAACGTTCCTGCCCAACGATTTCAGGTTAACAGACAACATTGACCAGGTTCTGCACTTAAGAAGAAAATACTATTTATTACAAATTAATCAGTTCTAACCTCAGAGGAACAAAATATGAATTGTCAAACTGATATTTTTCTCAGTTAACTGTATCAGTTATTAATCCCCTACACACATCTACACTGACATAGTCAACCAAAAGGACATTGATATTATGAGTGGAGAAAAATATTCGGGGAAGACATTTCAACTGAACACCTATAGAGTGAATTTAATGAGGTGTCCTGTCTTTTCCCAAATCCTTCTGATTGCCAATTTCTTCTTTCCAAGATATTGGCTGCAGACATAGGGCAGTTGGCACACTAATTATTCACTCAGTCACTGGTTATAGGAAGCAATTCACAGGCAAATGGTGAATGGGAATAGTTAGCTATCTTCCAGTTCTTTGTTGCTTCTCTGCGAAGAGAGCAAGAGTGAGAGAGACAGAGATAGAGAAAGCTGCTGACTCTTTAGAGTCTGGAGACTTTCAGCCCCTGGTTTGTTAACACGCAGGCTATCCACCCACCCTGGACAACTGGATCCTGACTGGGAAAAAATCAAAATGCTATCTCTGGGCAGAACTAGCTTGAAATAAACCCAGGGTGCTGATGAGTCACCAGCAGCTTCCCCTCCACTGCTTGAACAAAGATACACTGTAAATACATTGAGTTCCAAGAATTTGTTTTAGAACTGCATCATCTCCTTTCACGGTCTTTGGTTTAAAGCAGTATTCGTTTCCCATTTTGATGACCTATCTGAAAAATTTTAAAATGTAGTCTTTATAATAGAATTTATGTCAATTTATAAATTTTGGATATAGTCAATTACAGCCAGATCATTTGGACAAAAGCAACAGAAACACCAAAAAAAAACTTTCAGCCAAAACCTGTGATTGAACTTGTTGCATATTTGTGGAGAAATTTTACTGAAATAAACATTTCTAAGAATGATGTGTGACCAATAAGTATTTTTATTTCAGTCTGGCGCATTGTGAGCTGATTGGTTTCAATATGTAAATATCTATTGGATAAGGTCTTTACTAGTTTTACAATGTTTTTTTTCAATAAATGGTGACGGGGTATGTTTGTACAAAGGCAGAGAGCCTGAGGAATTGCTTATGTGTCTCCGGCAGCAACTGTAATCCATGTGGAATAATCCAGCTGGAACTGGACTTCTACCCACAACTTTGTTCTCTGCTTCAGGGCTCTGATGGTTAAAGTCCTACTCCAGGACTTGAGCACAAAATCTGTGGCTGAAACTCCAGTGCAGGGATGGAAGAAATTACAGAGATGGGAGGGGTAAGGCCATGGGGGATTTTGAAAACAAGCTCAAAAATCTCACTAAAACTAATACTGAGTTTTCATGGGACGAGTGGATTATTCCTTGAATTTTATTTCTGACACATTTTCAGAACTGTCTAAATAATAGAATTTTCCTAAGTGACTGAATGAAAGCAAAACAGTCCATCAGCAGTAATAATTGAAGGCAGTCTCTTAAAATGTCCTATCGCATCTGACTCCAAGGACTTCACCCCACTTCACAGCTTCAGGAACCCAGATATAAAGACAATACTGGCATCTACGGCTCCAACTTGTTAACACTTTAAATCAAATCAAACTTTCAGGCCTACAGTTACAGGTGAAACTCATTCTGTACACAGCCTTGGAGATTATACTATTAGAAATTGAAACTAATAGAATAGAAATATTACGTTATTTTCAGCCGCACTGTCTTAGCTGAGTTAGAAGACTGCAGTTTCAAGTCTCACCTAGAGTCTGGGCATTGTGGCTGACCCTCTAGTGGAATAATAAGGCAGTGCTGCACTGTAAAAGAAACAATTAATGTTAATCCATGCTACTGTCCGCCCTTTCAGGTGAATGTAGAAGATTCCTTGAGATTAAAGAGCAGGGAAGATATCCTGGCCAGTGTGGATCCCACAATCACAAAAACAGATGATCTGATCAGTATCACATTAATATTTGTGGGAGCTTGCCATGTAAAAATGGGCTGCCATTGTTCTGAAATTAGAAACAGTGGCTAAACTTCACCAAACACATAATTGTCTAAAAGGTGCTTTCGGACAGCCTGAGTTCGTGAAACATTTGTACAGGACATATCTGGGCAATTCTCAGCTCGATGCCAGTGTTGTCACTTGGTTAGAGGTATGGCTAGTTCTGGAGCTTGACTCCTCAGTATGACAGCTGAGATACAACTCAGGAAGGAGGGTCCAGACCCGAAACGTCAGCTTTTCTGCTCCTCTGATGCTGCTTGGCCTGCTGTGTTCATCCAGCTCTACACCTTGTTATCTTAGATTCTCCAGCATCGGCAGTTCCTACTATCCCTGAATCGAGATACAACCCTTGCTGTGGTCTGTGACATCTATTATATATGCAGAGGGAACCAAACTAAGCGAAACCAAATCAAAGTAAAATATGACGTATGTTACAATTAAAAAACAGAAAAACTGCTGGACAAACATTGCAGATCTGGAACTGTCTGAGGAAGGTAAACGCATGAACAGCTACAACATTTACAAGACATTTGGAGAGGTATACGGATAGGAAAGGTTTAGACGATATAAGCCAAACACAGGCAAACGGGACTAATCTAGTTTGGGAAACTTGGTTCAGCATGGACGAGTTAGCTGAAGAGTCTGTTTTTGTGCTGTGTGACCTTACAACTCTATTAGAGAAACAGAGTTTCTATTTTTTCATTTTTTAAATTATTTTTATTTTATTATCACATTTCTATTCAACATGGAAGCATTCTACACCCAGTAGAATGTTAACCAGGAAATGATCAGTGAGAGTTGCCCAGGCTGCTGAATTCCCAACTGATTTTAAAAAAGCAACTGGCCTAGTAATGGGCATCTCAGTGAAGAATTATATTCCCTTCTAGAAACTAGAGAACTCATCAACACTGCTATCTTTCCACCTCTTTAACACACATCAAATGTGCACATGAAACAGGAACATGTGTGGGATTGTGTGTTATTCTATGTGGCACTCAGGCATGCTGCACTGTCAGAGTTGCTGTCTTTTGGTTGACACTTTAAACTGAAACCCGATTTGCTGTCTGAAGTGGATGTTCGTAATGCCATGCCACTCTTTCAAGGTGGAGCGAATGAGTTGTCCCCAGTGTTTTGGACTATACTTGTCCCTCAGTCAGCACCAGAAAAGACAGATTTTCCAGTCATTGTCACAGTGATACTTCTGGGAGCTTGTTCTGACCTTCAAAAGTAGCTCATTGCCTGTAGAGGGATGTGTTATTGCTGGTGGTTGAGAAAATTCTATCAAAATGCAAGTCACTTTTCAAGTTAACAGGACTGTATTAAAATTCTATCCCTGAACATGAAAGAGACTTGGTTTTTAACAGCACAGTTCATAATTTGGTCAAAGCAACAAAAAAACTGCTTCCATTGTTGTATCTGCTTCACGTTTAAAAATATTTTGTAGGCTTAAGTTTGACAACTAGTATTCACAACTACCTGAATTTGTTAGGAATGAAATGACTTAGAACATTTTTGAAAGGCATTTATTGTCAGTCACATGTCTTATGACAACTGCTTGTTTCCTGATGACCAGCTTCCTGGGTTTAAAACTCTCAGGTTACAGCTTATGCTTTGAATATTTCCTTTGGAATAGTTGGTGACAAGTCTGTAGGGAAGGGGCTCTGCTCATTTCTCCTGATTCTGGAAAATAAGTCTCATCATTAATTCTGACTGTCCTCCTGCAGAGCAACTCTAAGATTTCTTAACACAATGTCTCCTGAGCAGGTTGCATCTGCCAAGATCCTACAAACAACTGCCTACGTTTTGTGACACTTATACACACGTCAGAATATCAAACTATTAGCTATTTGAACAACACTAATCTTAAATTTGCCCAGATGTGTCTATTTTCCCATCTTGAATCTTGGCAAGGAGGAATTTGCTTTTTCCACTTACCTAGTGTTTGTGCATGTATTTGTTTTGGGTTATCTTCAGAGGCAAGCATTTTCTACTTCATATTAAAAATTGTGTGTGTTAACTAGTTCTGCATCTTCAATGAATGTGTTCTGTTTCATAATAAATCAATGATTTTGTCCTTATTGATGAAACCTGATCAATAGATAATTTTTTGTTATAAGTCTAATCTAGGAAAGGATACAACTAGACATATCAGGTACCAGGAAAATCAATTACACTGATTTGTGTCTGTGCAGCAATGAGACTAGAGAGTGATAGTGCACTCTTCCCATCTTGGACAGAACAGTAACGTCAAGGGCAAATATTTTGGAGAAAATAGCAGTTTGAGAAAGATGCTTTGAATTAGCTTGTGGTTAGACTGCACCATTGCTTTCTCTTTCACAAACACGTACTGTTTGAAATGCTCACCATCAAAGAAAATATCCAGGCTCCATTTCTAAAACTGTGTATAATGTTGTTCAGCTTGTGTTAACCCTCTGAATGTAAACAAAACTGCTTGTTCCTGTTGCATGGGAATTACTCTAAGTCCTGTTTCATTGACACTGCATCATCGTGTCAAAAGCACTGTAAAAACCAAAAGTGACTGTTTCAACAAGAAAAAGGATTACTGACGTAATCATTTAAGTGGAACAACAAATTATCTGCTGGAAACTTCTCCAAAGTCAACATCAGTCAGACAATCAGAACCCAGATACCTCCTGATGGGTTTGGAAGACTAACAGTTATGTTTTAATCTGTTACAGGGACAACTGTGTCAAAGAATATCCCTCACACAATAGAACTGCAAGTTACATCCATCCCATAAGAAGATGTATTAATAACTTTCCAATAATTCTTGCAAAGGGCCATAAACAGTCGGCCTTTGTCTCAATGCTAATTGCTTCTTCTTCACCAGGAGGCTTGGTCACATAACTTCCACAGTGTTGAATACTTTTCAACTGTGCAATTCTGAAATAGCAGACAGATCAGGGGTCAGTGCTGCTCCATTCCACATCTACTGACAAAATCTACACTTTTAATTTCACGTGACAAAGGAGAAACCGATAGCTTGTAAAATGCAGCCACTCACCTGTATTTGTGCACTCTGCAAGTAAATCTGCTTTCATCAAATCAGTGAAGCAGAAATCACATTTCAGCAAATCTTCATCAAAAGACTTTCAAAGGAACTTTTAAAAATAAACTGCTGACAGCTCTTCAACAGCAGGCTAGCCAATCAACCCACAATAATAAAATGGTAAATCTTGGTTTTATTTTGAATTTAAGTGGATATCTTGTTTGTTAAGGATGACACACAGTTTACTTGAAAATAGAAACTGAAAAATGGACATTTGGATTATTAGGTTTTTCACAATTTGTTGGATACATCAGCACTAGGTGTTATTTCATTAAAATGTAAAATGCCCAGCAACAAGATTTTGATTGGTTATAAATGGGCAATTTGATACTGAACTGGGAGGAGAAAGATTAGTTGGGACTCAGACCTTCAAGGCTGTCAGCAAGTGAAGTAATATTGAAAGAACTTGTGAAAAAACAACAAATTCTAATTGAAACCAAGATCTAGATATAACTGAGTAGCTACTGAATTGAGGGACTTTTGCAATCAGTAACAACAACAAACTGCGAGAAAGTCACCTCATTTCATCTTTTGGATTGAACTCTAATCCACAGACTTTGTGCATTTTTACCCGCTTACTTTCAATCCACAATATTCCTAAAATGACGTTTGTCTCATCAGTCTTGTCCATCTTCTGTGTGAATGAGTTTCTGAGTGTTTGGATTTAGTTGGGTGGGGGGGGGGTGGTGGGGTGGGGTGGTGGGAAGCTTAGTTAAAGTTTGCATATTAGTAATTAATAATCTTTTTGCCACTTGTTGGTACATAAGGTTGTTACAGTGAATACATTTTTTCTTCCTTCAGACTGTGGTCACATTCAGGCATGAACCATTCCTAGAGATTCAACTGGTCATTTCTCCCAGGTGACAACTCGTGTAATGGTGTTTTCAGTGCACAACTTCCACCAGGGTTATGACACGTTCCAATTTGACATCTCCATGTGTATTTATGATGTGCATACATTGTGAAGAATTCCTGAATTTATACAAGTGAGTGAAATAAACCGTACTCCAGGTTTAACTTTACCAGTGTTACTGTATTCCTTACAGAGTCAGAGCGCACAAAAAGAGAAACGGGGGAAAGACACTCCCACAGTTTAAAAAATGGGATAAAAGAAATCACAATCAATTACCAACAAGTGTGCAGTATAAGGAAAAACATTTGTTTTAATCCTCACAAAATGTCTATAACAATGGACTTCATAGCCCCTCAACACTGGTGTTATTGTCACTAGGTGTTTGATGGGAGTGAAAGCTGCTTATTGTTCTGTGCCCCAGTCCCACTGAACGTCCTTCACACTGCGCTCATTTCAAACCTTACACTTGAAGTGGTCCTCTGCGAGAGCCTTCTTTTGGTGATCAGGTCAAAGGTTAAATTGATCTTCCTGAATGGACTGATGGGATGACAGGTTTGAGACAGACATGCTGAGACAGAGAGTGCCTTGGAAATGACATCTCCCCTGGGTGAGCACTGGAGGGTAAACAATGCAGACAGCTCTCAGTGCCACACAAGCAGTTGACCCAGCTTCAAGTCCGTGTGGAGATGTCAGTGTCTGGTGAGAGAGGAGGAGATAGTGAAACAATCCTGATACACATCACACTAGAAGGTATACCATATTGCTTCACCTATATACCAAGAGATCCAAAGATCCAGAAAGTCCGACAATCATGTAAAGGCTTTATTACAGATCTCATTCAGAAAGGGTTACTTCCCTGTGAGTGTTTTGGTTGATCCTGAGTTTCACCGGTGACCTAACTCCCGATCACTGACTGTACAAAAACAGTCACAAACATTGCACCTGAAAAAGTTCTCCCGTCTGAATCCTGTGGATTCCCAAATGTTTGAAGACATCACGAAAGGTTCATCATCAAATCATGCATGAAGGGTTACTCCCCTGTGTGGATCCTCTAATGGAACAGGAAGTTCCAAGAACTTGAGAATGATTTCCTATATATTTCACGTGTGAATGTAACCTCTTTGTGTGAATGCTCTGGTGACTGCGAAGAGTTGATAAATTCAAGAATGATTTGATACACATATCACACATGAATGGTCTTCCTTGTATGAATAAATTGATGCTTGTGTAGATTCAATGACTCCAAGGATGAGTTGTGACACAACTTCCAATTGCATGGTTTCTCACAAGTATGAATCCTCTAGTGGAATAGGAATCTCCAAGAGATGGGGAATGATTTGTCATACAACTAACATTTAAACAATTTCTCTCCTGTGTGTATTCGTTGGTGTGTGCGAAGGTTTCCTGACTGTGTAAATGATTTGTTACACACCTCACACCTGAATGGTTTCTCTCCTGTGTGAATCCTCTGATGGATCAGGAGTCTTTGTGAAGTGGGGAATGATTTGTCACACACCTCACACTTAAACAACTTCTCTCCTGTGTGAATACGTTGGTGTGTGCGGAGGTATCCTGACTGCGTGAATGATTTGTCACACACCTCACATTGGAAAGGTTTCTCCCCTGTGTGGACACGTTCATGGATGCGGAGGTTCGATGATGATGAGAATGATTTGTCACACACTTCACATCGGAATGGTTTCTCTCCAGTATGAATCCTCTGATGGAACAGGAGTCCTGATGAAGTGGGGAATGATTTGTCACATACCTCACACTTAAACAATTTCTCTCCTGTGTGAATACGTTGGTGTATGTGCAGGTATCCTGCCTGTGTGAATGATTTGTCACACACCTCACAATGGAAGGGTTTCTCTCCTGTGTGCACACGTTGGTGCGTACGGAGGAATACTGCTCGCGCGAATGATTTGTCACACACTTCACACCTAAACGGTTTCTCTCCTGTGTGCATACGTCGGTGTATACGGAGGGATCCTGACCATGAGAAAGATTTGTCACACAGTTCACAGCTGAATGGTTTCTCTCCTGTGTGTACACGCTGGTGTAGGGTCAGGGATCCTGAATGTGAGAAGGATTTGTCACACACGTCACAGGTGAACGGTTTCTCCCCCGTGTGGACACGTCGGTGTAAGTGGAGGTTTCCTGACTGTGAGAATGACTTGTCACACAGGTCACACTTGAATGGCTTCTCCCCTGTGTGAATCCTCTGATGGAACAGGAGTCTCAATGAAGTGGGGAATGATTTATCACACACCTCACACTTAAACAATTTGTCTCCTGCATGAATACGTCGGTGTATGCGGAGGTATCCTGCCTGTGAAAAGGATTTGTCACACACCTCACAATAGAAAGGTTTCTCTCCCGTATGGACACGCTGGTGTGTGTGCAGGTATCCTGACTGCGAGAATGATTTGTCACACACCTCACATCGAAATGGTTTCTCTCCTGTGTGGATGCGTTGGTGTATACGTAGGTATCCTGACTGTGAGAAGGACTTGTCGCATACCTCACAATGGAAGGGTTTCTCCCCCGTGTGGACACATTGGTGTGTGCGAAGGTATCGTGACTGTGAGAATGATTTGTCACATACCTCGCACTGGAATGGTTTCTCCCCTGTGTGGATACGTTGGTGGACGAGGAGTTTTGATGACTGGGAGAATGATTTACCACACTGCCTGCACATGAACGGCTTCTCCCCTGTGTGAATATGTTGGTGCATGGAGAGGCTTGATGACGATGAGAATGACTTGTCACACACATCACATGTGAGTGTTTTTTTCCCCATGTGAATGCGTGGGTTATTCATCAGATATAATGGTCGCCAGAAATCCTGATTATGCACCTCAGATATGAATCGTTTCTCCCAAGAACGAATGCATCACTGATTCATGAACGTAGGTAACTTTACAAAAGCACTGTTGAAAGTTCTCTATCATCTAACTGCTTTTGTTTTAAAAGATTTACAACAGATGGACCTTGTGTGTTGACAGCTTACTCACTTACATGTTAGAACTGCCACTCACCTGTAGAAAAGAGTTAGTGGTTCATGAAGCTCAATGATTGATTAAAGCTCTTACCACACTTGGAGACCACTCACACTTTTTCCCAGCCTGACAGATCACGCACAGTCAAACCATCAGAAATGTTGGTTCTGATGGAAGATCCCGCACGACTGATCAGTTTCACATCCAATGATATGTCAACTCTTCTGAACTGGAACAATTTCCATATGATGGTTTCACTCAGCAAGCATCTCTGTTTGGCAATGCTGTGAAGGGATTGGATGTCTTCCCACAGCTGTGCAGTTGTTCATTGGGTGATGGCCAGGGTCTATCTGTAGTCTACCTTCTCTGTATTCTCTGGTGTCATATAATGAAATCCTTCTGCAAAACAGGAAATTGAAACATGATTTCCTTCAACACTCCCTCTTCTGTAAACTTGCTGAATTCTCAGTCATTTCTTCTTCACATTTTTATTGCATGGGGCTGTCACTGACTCAATAGCATTTATTGCCATTCCTAATTTCCCTTCAGAATGAGATGCTGACCCATTGGAACCATCAGACTCCCCTGGGTGGAGTGGGGCTTTGGGGCAGAGACGAGCAGTCATGCAGATGTTATACCTAAAATGCAGCTAGTAATGAAAATCCACTAATTTTCACAGAAACAACCAACAGGCTACAGGATAATAACCAACAGAGAACTCAACAATAGAAATCAGTACGAATCTTCAGACACTCTACACCTCTCACATAATTACACATCACCTTCTCATATTCAGGAATAAGCCATCAACAAAACTCAGCCTGGAAATCAGAATGTAAATGCTTCCAATAAACACACTCAGCTCCAGTCAAACAGTTCAGCACAAAGCACTGAGTAAACAGCTCTCTCAGCTGGATCTTCTCACACAGCATAAGGGACATTTCCACCCCTGATTGCCCACAGGATAGTCAGACTGCCTGAAGATTGGTGTGGATATTATGGGATACAATTTGTATAAAAGCTGCTCCTTCACTCACCATCTCCTCACTGGGTTTGCAGTCCCTATAGGAAGTGAACCAGCTCTGGAAGAGGAAGTGGAGAGAATGGGCAGAGTGGGTGGGCTCTCTGATTGTCTCTCACAGTCAATCCAAATATTTCTGCAGCAACAAAAACAAAGTTGCTGGAGAAGGTCAGATGCTGCCAGACGTGCTCAGCTTTTCCAGCAACTGTGTTTTTGTTCCTGATTTACAGCATCCGCAGTTCTTTCGGTTTTTATTTCTGCAGCAAAGTGAGTTTCCTGAAACTTGGGAAACTAACCGGTGAAATGGAGGTGACTTTGTGCAGCAGATCAGGTGGATTTAAACTTGTCATTGCCCCACCTGAATAAAACCTCATTTATTGCAGTTGCTGTCTCAGTTCCCCTGGTAAATGTTTGACAGAGATTTCCAATGTAGGAATAGCATTCTTCATCCTCATCGGCTTTCACATTAGTGAGGTCTCAGTTGTGTTTGACAGCAAATTAGGGGGAGAAGAACAGTATCCATGGCAGTGAAATAGATGTGGAGGGCTCCATAAGCTCAATACAACTTCCTGACACAGCTAAATTGTAGAGAAACCATTCATGCATGAAATGTGTGATCAAGCATTCACATAGTAATCAATACTTTTCCCACCTCATGAGGATGGACCAGGCCTGCATGGACAGCTGACATTTTATTAAAACAAAGATGTCAGTTCTGCAGACAGAGGTAGTGGGGAACAATGAACGAACATGAAGCGCAGTCTGTCAGTATCAGAGACTCATTCTACACTGATCAACATTGGCTCTTTTGCATTTAAGGGAACCCCACAGTTCCCTCCCTGGTCTGCACTTTCTGAGAGGTGCATCAAAATCACACCCATCACACCCATGATCTGAGACCAGGCTCAGAGAGACCAATGTTGTGATATTCATTACAACCCATTCCATCCCCATTTCACATTTTGTCTAAAATATGACCCTCTTGAAAGTGCAGCTTTCCCCCAGTGCCAAGCTGTATCGATTGGGAGTGGACCATCGACCCACAACTTGCTCACTTAGCTCCCCCAAAAGAAAATGATATCCAGTGACTGACAGTGGATCAGTTCACGGCTTGTCACAATCTTTCAGTCTGGGATCTCACAATCTCATCTCTATGACAGCAACAGTGTGAATCTAGATCAGTAAGCCAATTTTACTCCCATTTTCCTCTCCAGTTGTGTTAACCTGACTCTCATCTGGGAGCAATTCCACAGGCACCTCCAGCATTACGCCTGCTGCCCCATTCTTAACTTTGAAGATTGAAGAATGGATGTAGGGTAAAAGGACTGAGGTAAGAGGGATGATCTTGTCCTCACACACTGACATTCTGTAGCAGGTTCAGGACTCAATACTGACTTCAATAATTTTAGAGCCTGAGCACCTTCTTCCATGTTTTTCCCCAACACCCACACATCAAGCCTTGTCCTCACCAGAACCAATCCATTTTCATTCCCTACTGGATCCCATTAGTTTTTTTTTTAACTTCCCAGATTGACCATTATCCATTCTTTTGTCTATCTAACTGCTATTGTCTCTTTCTGGGCTCCATCTCCCCCTATTGTTCACTTCTTCCCCACTACCCCGTCATCTTCAGCATATATACCAACCTTTTCCTCACTAACAGTTTCTCTCCACAGATGAGGATCACCTGCTGAATTTCTCCAGCTATTTCTGTTTTCTTTTGCCCTAATCTTACGATTCTGCCCCTTGTTCCAGACTGTCACCAGAGAAATAATTTCTTTCTAACTACTCATTCAACTTGTTTCATAATCTTTAACATCTCAATTCAATTACCCTTAATTTTCTACATTCAAGGGAATGCAACCTCAAGTCTATGCAACTTGTGCTCTAATTTAACGCTTTTATCCTCAGGAACATTGTGATGAATCTGCACCGCATCCTTCCAAGACCAATATATCTTCTCCCAAGAGATAACAAGGTGTAGAGCTGGATGAACTGAAGAAGAGTTCAGACCCGAAACGTCAGCTTTCCTACTCCTCTGATGCTGCTTGGCCTGCTGTGTTCATCCAGCTCTACACCCTGTTATCTCAGATTCTCCAGCATCGGCAGTTCCCACTATGTCTGATATCTTTTCCTAAGCTGCAGTGACCAGAACTGAACACAATTCTCGAGATAGGGTCTAAACAGAGCTTTGTACTGCTGGAACATAACCCACAGGGACACAGTTAGTTTTGGGGAGGAGAAGGTGTGGGTTATCTTTTCTCTTCAGCATGGTCCTGCAGTAATCTACAGTTTTGACAGGGTAAGCAGGACCAACTAATGCTTGACATGGTCCAGTCAGATCTGCCGATGGAAGATTAAACCAATTGTGTACCAGATACACTCAAAGCTTTACCCTTTGGATTTCAGAAGCTGAGCAAACAACTGGGAGGAAAAACAGTGAAGTAAGACAAAGAACCGTGGATGCTGGAGGTCTTCAGAAGGGTCACTGGTCTCGAAATCTTAACTCTCTTATCTTTCCACATTTGCAGCTAGGTGTGAGTTTATCCGGCAGTTTCTATCTTTATTTGTTTCAGGAAAAAAAGTAAGTGGTAATTTTGAGAGCAACAGATGTGAAGGTGTATTTAAGAGAAATGGTTAAACCAGACTGACAGCTGCAGAAACATTGTGGTGAATGGATGGTCAAAGGGCAGAGGAATTGGAAATTAGAAAGTACCGTCCAACTCACCTTGGGGGAAGAGGTTCTTCCAGAAATAAAAACTGATTGATCCATGACCCACATGATCTCTGTTACCACTGATTAGTTTGTATGACGTGAATGAGCTCCATCCAGTGTCACTAACGTTTAGTGTCATTTCTAACCATTGGAATTGGGAGCCAGAATAAAGCGCCATGAATTTGAAGAAACTTCTATCTTTACTATTCTGAGAGTTTCTCAAGACGTGATTGTGTGTGTGTGTGTGTGCGCGTGTATGTTCGTGAAGTGCACCAGCTCTCAGGAGGGGGTATGGGATAGAATCAGACCCTGCTTTAGTTGGTAATGTGAATTCTGGACAGATCCTCTTCAGGTTATGGGTGTTTGACTCACACCTTAGGGAAAGTTTGCACTCTCCTGTCTGGGAGGACTACGCTCCTGAGTATTGGCGGAATGGGGGCGAGAGGGATGAGTCTTTACAAACTGATTTCCCCAGCCCATCATACCTTGATGAAATAACAGTTTGATTTGTTCGCCTTACACTCTTTCAAGACTCATTTCAAATTCTGGGAAAGATCTTGAGTCATTTTCAAGTGTTTCAACTTTGCTTTACCTTGAATATTGTTTTGCTGTTTCCCTGCTCCTTTATGAATCCTCTGTGTCCATTTAGAACTCTCAGTAAATTAAATTGTGAGTTCAGCTTATCTACCTGATGTCAGCCTGGTGCATTCCTGTTCACTGAAACACTCAGGATCCTACAGTAAGAATCCTGTACGCAATTTATTGGTCAACTTCGCTGTGGACTGGGATATTTCTCCATCAATGTGTTCATAATTTGTCATTCAAAGGAAGCAGAACTTTTCCTGAAGTTGGAAGGAAAGACTTAAGTTTATAAATCATCATCAATTACAAACTCAGCCTCTTGGAAAGCAGCATCCCCTTCGATTCAGTGCTTCAAGAAGTGAAGCCACTGTTATAAGTTTGCCAACAGCAAGATCCCACAACTCCCAAATGTCTGGAGACTAAAAAATCTTTTTGTGATGTTGGTTGGGGGTGCATATTGTACAGGAAACCAGGTCAAGTCCCAAAGCTGTGTCCAAAACACTTTACCCCCTGGTAAACTGGCAGCCTGAAAGTCTGACTGATTTAAAGTGGTAACTATTTCAAGCTTCAGGTGTCAGTACTGTCTTTGTGTCTTGGTTCCTAAGCTGTAAAAGATGGTAAAGTCCTCTGGGGTCAGGAGAAGTAAAGCTGATGGTGAGAAGTCAGCAGACTCCAGGATCGAGGAACAACCTTGGGCTGAAGGTGGCAAATGGATTTTAATTTAGAAAAATGTGAGGTGTTGCATTTTGGTAAGGCAAACCGGGGCAGGAATAGTACAGTTAATGGTAGGGCTCTGGAGAATGTTGCCCAACAAAAAGACCTAGGGGTGCACATGCATAGTTCCTTGAATGTGGAGTCATAGGAAGACAGGGTGCTGAAGAATGCGTTTAGAATGCTTGCCTTCTTTCGTCAGAACATTGAGTATTGGAGATGGGACATCATGTTGTGGCTGTACAGAACATTGGTTAAGCTACGTTTTGAATACTGCATACAATTCTGGATGCCCTTCTATAGGAAGGATGTTATTAAACTTGAGAAGATGCAGAAAAGATTTACAATGATGTCGCTAGGACTGGAGTGTTTGAATTATAGGGAGGGTCTGAACAGATTGGGGCTTTTTTCTCTGGAGCATCAGAAGCTGAGGAGGTTTACGGTGGTTCATAAAATCATGAGCGGCATGAATAGGGTGAATACCCAAGGTGTTCTTCCTAGGGTTGAGGAGTCCAAAACTAAAGGGCATAGGTTAAAGGTGAAAAGGGAAAGATTTAAGAAGGATCTGAGGGGTAACTTTTTCACACAGAGGGTGGTGCATGTAAGGAACATGCTGCCAGATAAGGTGGTGGAGGTGGGTACAATTACAACATTTAAAAGGCATGGGTATATGAATAGGAACGGTTTAAGGGAAATGGACCAAATGCTGGCAAATGGGACCAGTTCAGATTGGGCCATGTGATCGGCGTGCATGAATTGGACCATAAGGTCTGTTTCTGTGCTGTAAGACTCTAACCTGCAGACTAGGTACTGATAGAGGATCCCCACATCAAGCAAAATTCCACATATCCTCAATCCCACTGGCTCAATTTCAGCCACACACCAGAACTGTCTGCTGACTGTAAATCCATGGTGTTCCTCAATGACACTGGTCAGCAGTTTGTCCTCCTGCTGTGACTGCAGAATTGTCCCTGTTGGAACCATTGTGCACTTTCCCAGAACCAGAGGACAACAACTCTCTTCCTTAAAACCCACATCCCCCGAATTGGCCCAGTCCTGCTCCCAAACCCAGCATTCATTGATATTCGGGTCGGTGATACAGGAGCTTGAGTGATGGAGACTGGATATGTCTTGATCCTGATCTGACTGTCTGTGACCCAGGTTAATCTGACACATTTTGATGGAGTTTTACTTTGTATCTAATCCATGCTGTACCTTCTCTGTGAGTGTTTGATGGAACAGTGTCAACGTGGAGCAGTTATTCCATCCCTACGTAGGTGAACCCTCACCTTCCTCTTACACGTCGGAATCTAATGTTCAGCCTGAACTTGTCTGGGCGCAGAAAATTAACACTGTTCACAACTCCTGAGAATTGTCAGGAATAAATTGTTGCAACCTCTATTTTCAAAAATTGTTAACTCTAGCCCCTTTTTGTGTGTTGCCTAACTCCAGTGGAGCAAATTCTGACTTTGTGAAATAGTGTGAAACCTCTATTTACAATTGAAAGCCTACCTTACCACTCTCCTTGTTTTTATTTCAGGAATATAAATGGAGAAGAGATGTAAAACAGGTTGATGACTTTCTAAAGGAAATAAAAACATAATCACCCTTCCCTTCTATAACATGTTGCTAGACATTCCATATATCATTATGCTAGACATTCCATTCCTTCTTTTGTCTTGTGTTGTTATTTAAAAGCCTCTGCAAAGGCTCAATTATTCTAATACGAAGGTGCTCAGTAAGCAGCCACAGTGAACAAATTGGCCGCAGGTCATGTCTGACACAGGGCAGGATAGGTGACTGAGGTGACAGAGGGGGACCAGTGACCATAGTTCTATTAATATTAAAATAGTTATGGAGAAGGGATAAAACTGGTCCACAGGTTCAAATTCTAAATTGGTGAATTTTGATGGAATTAGACAGGAGCTTGCAGGCATCGATTGGAGTAGTTTGTTTGCAGGCATAGGAACCTCTGGCAAGCGGGAGGCTAATAAAAGTATGATAGATAGAGTTCAAGGTCTATATGTTCCTGTGAGGGTGAAGGGCAAGGTTGGCAGGAGTAGGGTATCCTGGATGACAAGAAATATTGAGGCTTTGACTAGAATAAAAGGAGGCATGGCTCAGGAAAAGGCACCTGGGATCAAGGGAAGGAAATCAGGAAGGAAAAAGCTTTGGCTGAGAAGATTATGGTGAATCTAAAGAGATTCTTTAAGTAGATTAAAGGAAAAAGAACTAGAGAGAGAATAGGACCCCTCAAGGACCAAAGTAGATATGTATGTGTGGAACCGCAGGAAATGGGCGAGGACCTCAATGAATATTTCTCCTCTTGTGTTTACTGTGAAGAAAGACATGAAGACTTGCTAACTTGGGGAAGTTAGTGGCGATATCTTCAGGACAGTCCATATCACAGTAGAGATGTTGGAAGTATTAGAATATACGTAGGTGGATAAATCTCCTGGTCCAGATCAGATATATCTAAGAACCATGCAAGAGGCTACAGAAGAAATTGCGGGGCTCTGGCTGATATATTTGCATTGTTAGCCACGGGTGAGGTCCCAGAAGACTGGAGGGTAGTGAATGTTGTGCCCTTATTCAAGAAGGGCTGCAAAGAAGAACCTGGGAATTATAGACCAGTAAGCTTGCTATGTAAGTTACTTGAGAAGATTCCAAGGGATAAGATATACATGTATTTAGAGACTCCGGGTTTGATTAGGAATAGTCAGCATGGCTTTGTGCATGGGAGATCATGCCTCACAAATTTGTTAGAGTTCTTTGATGAAGTGACTAAGAAGGTTGATGAGGGCCGGGTGGTAAATGTAGTCTACGTGGATTTCAGTAAGGCCTTTGATAAGGTTCCACATGGTAGGCTGCTCTGGAAGGTAAGATCGCATGGAAACCAGGGAGAGCTGGCAAACTGGATATGCAATTGGCATGATGGTAAGAAACAGAGAGTAATAGTGGAAGGATGCTTGTCAGACCGGAGGCCTGTGACTGGTGCTGTGCCTTAGGGGTCAGTGCTAGGCCCATTGCTGTTTGTTATCTACATCAATGATTTGGATGAGAATTACAAGGCGTGATTGGTAAGTTTGCAGATGACACTAAAATAGGTGGTATTGTGGACAGTGAGGAAGGTTATCAGAAATTTCAGCAGGATCTTGATCAGCTGGGGAAGTGGGCTGAGAAATGGCAAATCAAGTTTAATATAGATAAGTGTGAGGTGTTGCATTTTGGAACGTCAAACCAAGGTAGGAGTTTCATGGTGAATGGTAGGGCTTAAGGAGTGTAATGGAACAGAGTGACCTTGGAGTTCAGGTGCAAGGTTCCCTGAAAGTGGAGTCACAGGTAGACAGGGCAGTGAAGAAGGCTTTTGGCACACTAGCCTTCATCAGTCAGGGCATTAAGTACAGAAGTTGAGACGTAATGTTGCAGTTGTACAGGACGTTGGTGAGGCTGTACTTGGAGTACTGTGTTCAGTTTTGGTCATCTTGCTACAGGAAGGATGTTACTGAACTGGGAAGAGTGCAGAAGAAATTTACAAAGACATTGCCAACACGCAAGGGACTGAATTATAGGGAGAAGTTGGACAAGCTAGGACTTTTTTCTTTCAAGCGTAGGAGACTGAGAGGGGTCTTATAGAAGTGCATAAAATCATGACAGACATGGATAGGGTGAATGTACTCAGTCTTTTTCCCAGGATTGTGGAATTGAAGACTAGAGAGCATCAGTTTAAGGTAAGAGGGGAAAGAATATATGGGAATCTGAGGGGAACAATTTTTACAGAGGGTGGTACACATATGGAATGAGCTGCCAGCGGAAATGGTTGAGGTGGGTACACTAACAACATTTAAAAGGCATTTGGACGAATACATGGATAAGAAAGGTTTAGAAGGATATAGGCAAAATGCAGGGAAATTAAGTTAGTGTGGATTTTGGACAATGGACCCATTTTGGGCTAAGGGGCCTATCTCCATGCTGTAGAACTCTAGGACTTCTCTTTCCAATATTTTATTGTACCATTCATAATCTTCCAACCATCAGTTCCCTGCTCCCCTTCTGAGTTAAATAAAATATAAAACTCACAAACACAATGTCTGAGTCGCAGTCTCGCTGTTAATCCTTGAATTCCTGCTTCTGAAAAGTTGTTGTTTTAATTCTTGCTGTTCCTTTAGCTTCGTTGACCTGTTTGATTTCATCCAATCTCCTTATTCAACTGATTTTCCAAGCAGCTCTATACTATGCAGTGCTGCCACTGCTGTTTGCTGCTGTCTTTACTATTGTCTGTTTCTGGGCTTACTGCTCTGTTGCATTTCCAAGGAATGTGGATCACATTCAGATGTGGTGACTCCATACAGCTCATTACCTTATTGTTATTTACAGTTCTAAAGGGTAGTCAGAGAGTTCAGTGATTCAGTCAAATCATTGAATTGAATAGACACTCATTCATTGTGTGGTCTGAGGCTTCATTCACCTTCTTGTGACTAGTCAATTGAAAATGTCACTCATCATGTCCATCAGGTTCTCAATGTCCACAGCATGCTGGCAGGGTGGTTTGGCCAATTTCCGAAAATTAATCATTACAAAATGGCCCTTTTAATGTTTTTAAATGTTGATTTGTCTTAAGAAGTTCTAGTTAAATGCCCAACTACAACCTTCATTTTAAATGTCAACAAATGATTCCTTCAGGTTTGTGTCCAAGTGTTTATTCAAATGATTCTGACCCTATCATACTTTCAGACAGTGAGCTCCATAGCCTCAACACCCTCTGGTGAAAAGCATTACTCAAATCTCCTTTAATCTTGACTTGAATCTATTGACTTTAAATCTCTGCTCCCTGGTTACTGACCTCCCTGCTCAGGAAAACAAGCTTGAAACAATCCCATGAGCTGCTTCTGCCCTTCCCTCCCTTCCACTAATCTGCCTGGACAAACTTCTGTTAATGGTCTCTCCTGTCCTAGCCCTGAACTCACATTGTTCTCTAGTTTCTCTCCTTTCTCCCCTCACGCTTGTGCATGGGATCCATCTCTGTGTGGATTCATTGAAGTTCCAGGAGGTCCAACATTAATACAAGACTCACGTCAAAAGAGTTTCTCTGTGTCTGTGGACAGAGGGATAAGAAGATTGTGTGAAAGCCTCATCACACACCTCACACCAGAATTGTTTCTTTCCAGTGTGGATCTGCAGATGCTTTTGAAGATTGGGGAAATTGGTGAAAGTCTCACTAATCACCTTTCAAAGTTTACTCCCCTTTACAAGTCCTCTGGTGTTCCAGAACAGCCAAAGATGCCACAAAATCTTAATCATAAACTTCACAGTCAAACAGTTTCTCAGTGTTGGATTCTCTGCCAGCGCAGGAGGTTCAGCGGCTGTGAGTATAATTTTTCACCCACCTCACACTTGAACAGTGTCTTGCTTCTGTGGATGCTTAGATGTGTGCGGAGGTATAATAACAACAAGAATAATTTGACACACTACCTGTGAATGGTTTGTCTGTGGCGAGAATGTGTTTATGTCTGTGGAGAGTTAATGATTTGAGAATGATTTGTTACATCTCACGCACTTGAACAGCTTCTCCCCACTGTGACTGCATTGGTATTTGCGGAGCTCTGATGGTAAGGAGAAAATTTTCTGATGCATTGCACAAATGAAGGGATTGTGTCATGTGTGAACGTATTGGTATGCACAGCAGGTTAATGATGCGGAAGAACTGGACCAGTCTCTCCTGTATTGACCGAGTTAGTCTGAGTCTTTATTTGATAGTCTCAAGGTGAATTTCCCACACCCCTCACACCTGAAGAGTTGCTCTCTTGTGTGAATCCTCTGATGGAACAGGAGGGTCAATGGTCTCGAGAATGGTTTGTTGCACACATCACATGTGAATGGGCTTCCAGTTGTGTGAGTGCATCTGTGTTTGTGGAAAGCCAATAAATTACAGAATGATTTGTTACACATGTTGCGTGTCAATAGTTACTCCCCTATGTGAATGCATCGGTGTCTGCGGAGGTGTGATAACTGTGAGAAAGATTTGTCACACGCCTTGCATGTGAATGGTTTCTCACCTGTGTGAATGCGTTGGTGTGCATGGAGGGTTGATGAATTAGTAAGTGATTTGTTACATATGTCACATGTGAATGGTTTTTCCTGAGTGTGAATACGTTGATGACCATGGAGTGTTGACGAGTGTGAGAACGATTTATTGCACACATTGCATGTGAGTGGTTTCTGTCCTGTGTGAATGCACTGGTGAACACGGAGGGCTGAAGAAGTTGAGAATGATTTGATGCAGACCTTGCACATGAATGGCTTCTCTCCTGTGTGAATGCGCTGGTGTTCAAGGAGACCCCATGACTGTAAGAATGATTTGTCACACAGATCACATTTAAAGGGTTTCTCGCCTGTGTGAAGATGTTGGTGTCTGCGGAGGGTTGATGAGTACAAGAACAATTTGTCACACACCTCACACTTGAATGGCTTCTCACCAGTGTGAATGCGTTGGTGATTCACAAGTGTCATTGACACGGTGAAGGTTCAGTCACAAACCTCACACTTCAGTGGTTTCTCTTCCATGAAGCTGTTTGTGTAAACAGCGGTATAACAGATGCACCTTATATGTCTGGAGATTTTATGAAACCCAGGGGCCCTCCTCATGCACTTGAACAGCCGCTCACCTGTATGAATGAGTCAGTGGTTCGTGAGGCTTGATGAATGATTGAAGCTCTAACCACACTTGGAGCCACTAAAACTTCTTCCCAGCTTCTCACCCTGACCGATCACTCACGTAGCAGCTTCTCTTGGTTGAGAGGCTGAGTAGATACAAGACTCTGCTACTGTGAGCTGCACCAGGAGAGTCAGAAGCAGCTTGCTTTTGGATTTTCTGGATTTACATGAGGATTTGATTATTTTCCATTTCATTTCATCAAGATCTTCTGTATTTGTTGACGCTTCAGAAAGGTCGGTTCTGATGAAAGGCTCCACACCACTGACCCGTTTCAGATCTGATGATATGTCAATGCTCCCCTGACCTGACCGATTTCCATCTGATGGTTTCATGGCCCAACCTTCTGTGTTCAGCAATGCTGCAATGGGACTGATGTCTTCCCATAGTTGTGCAGTTGTTCCTTGGGTGATGGCCAAGATCCATTTGCCATGTCTATCCTCTCTGTATTCTCCAGTATAGTATGGTACATTCCTTCTGTAAAACATGGAAAGGAAACATGATTTCTACTAACTCTGTCTCACCTTTGATGAAGGAGCCAACTCTTCATACCGTTTTTTAAATTCATATTTTCCCAGGAAGTGGGTGTAGCTGACTGGCCTGACTAATATAATGATGCCCATTTAAGTTTCCCCTTCGAGAGATGGTGCTGAACCATCCACTTGAACCATGACAATCCACTGTATTGGGGAGTTGGAGGCACACTGACAGTGCTATTGTGAAAGTAGGTCCAGGACTCTGATCCAGTGACAATGAAGCATGGCAATTGAATTCCAAGTCAAGATGATGTGTGAATTTAAGGTGAAACTATAGGGGGTGAGGCTCCTGTGCATCTGCTGTCCTTGTGCTTCTAGCTGCTGGATTTCACAGGTTTGGAAGAAATGTAATGTTCTGTGTGAATGGTTCACACTGCTGTTTCTGTGCATTGGTTGTGAAGAGAGTGAATTTGAAGGTGTTGGACAGGATACCAATCAAATGGGTAGTTTACTTCTGCCTGATGTTGAGTGTTGTTGCAGCTCCACTCATTAGGCAAATTAAGAGAAACAATCGGACAGTTAGGTTTTACGAGACTTGGGGATGCAGGTACTGAAATCATTAAATATTATGAACAGGGGCAGAAAACATTAAAATGCCTCATGGAATATCTCAAGGGAAAGAAAACAAGGGGATGGAAGTCACGTTAAAGTGATACAAAGCTCTGGTTTCACCAGACTTTGAATACTGGGAGTAGTTCTGGGCACCTCACCACAGGAAGGAGACATTGGTCTTGAGGGAGTGCGATGTAGATTTACAAGAATAGTCCCTGGACTGCACAGTTACATAATGAAGAGAGATAAAACAATCTAAGGTTATATTTCATGGAGTTTGGAAAATTAAGGGGTGATCTCATTGAAGTTAATTGACGGGATGACAACTTTTAATCTCACCTGATCTGCTATTCAATGTCACGTCCATTTCACCAGTCAGTTTCGCAGCTTCAGAAACTCATAAAATAAAACAAAGAACCACCAAAGCTTGAGATCTGAAACAAAAACAATTTGCTAGTGAAATTCAGCAGATCTGGCAGCAACTGTGGAAGTAAAGCAGAGTTAACATTTTAAGTTCAGGGACACTTCATCAGGACAAAAAGTTAATTCTGCTTCACTTCCCCCACCCCCACCCCCACCGACACACAGATGCTGCTAGACCAGCTGAGTTTTGCCAGGAATTTCTGGTTTTGTTTCAGAAAACTCACGTTGCTCCAGAATTGGATTGGCTGTGAGAGAGGTCGGAGAGTCCAACCACTCTGCCCATTCTCTCCTGTTCACTTCACAAATTCACAGTTATCCACTCTTGGAGCAAAAACAGGAAGGCAGATTATTGTCTCAATGGTTATAAATTAAGAGAGGGGAATGTACAATAAGATCCGGGTGGCTTCCTGCACCAGTTGCTGAAGGTAAGGATGTAGGTGCAGCGGGTGTTAACCTTCATGGTGAGAGTACAGAAGCAGGGATAGCTTGCTGCAGTTGTACACAGCCTTGGTGAAACTACACTTGGAATACTATGTGCTATTTTGGTCTCCTTGTCTGAGGGAGGATGTTTTTACAAGAGAGGGAGTGCAGTGAAGGTTTACCATACTGATCGCCGGGATGGCGGGACTGACAAGTTGAATTAGTTAGGATTACATTCACTGGAGTTCAGAAGAATGAGGGGGATTCTCAAAGAAACCTACAAACCTCTAACAGGACTAAACATAGATGTGGGAAGGATGTTGCTGATGGTACACGAGTCCAAAACAGTCCAAAGATTTGGAGCAAACCTGTTTAGGACTGAGTTGAGAAGACTTTTTTTTAATTCAGAGAGTGGCAAGCATGGTGGGATTCACTGTCATAAAAAGCAGTCAAGGCCAAAACAATCAAAACATCCTTGCAAAAGGATCTGGACACAGCACATGGAGCTAAAGGGATCAAAAGATATGGCAGGGTGAGGGGGAGCCAGGAGGAGGCGATTGAGTTCGATGATCAGCGACAATTGTAATGAATGAAGCAGCAAGCTTGAAGGATCAAACAAGCTACTCCTGCTTCTATTTTCTATGTTTCTGTGTTAATTTACAAGATAATAACCAGCTTCAAACACACACGGTATTTACAACAGGAAGTCAGACTCCTAAGAGTGTCTACACCTCCCAGATGATTACATCTTATCTTCTCATTCAGGAATAAGCCATCAACAAAACACAGCCTGGAAATTAGAAGGGAAATGCTTCCAATAAACACACTAAATATCCAACACACAGCTCCAGTCAAACAGTTCAGCACAAAGCACCGAGTAAACAGCTCTCTCAGCTGGATCTTCTCACACAGTATAAGGGACATTTGCACCCCTGATTGCCCACAGGATAGTCAGACTGCCTGAAGATTGGTGTGGATATTATGGGATACAATTTGTATAAAAGCTGCTCCTTCACTCACCATCTCCTCACTTGGTTTTCAGTCCCTATAGGAAGTGAACCTGCTCTGGAAGAGGAAGAGGGGAGAATGGGCAGAGTGGGTGGGCTCTCTGATTGACGTCTCTCAGAGTCAATCCAAATATTTCTGCAGCAACATGAGTTTCCGGAAGCTTGGGAAACTGACCGGTGAAAGTGGAGGTGACTTTGAGCAGCAGATCAGATTCGAAACACTCGGATGTGAACATAAGGAATAGATTCTTCACATTTTAAATGGAGTAACTTTTTCATGTCGGTACTGTCCATCGAACACTCATATGAGAAGGTACAGCATGCGTTAGCGTCAAACTCGGTCTAAAGTATTCCTAGGCATTTGGATTAACCCAGGTCACTCACACCCGGAACAGGTCAAGACGCTCCTGCCTCAGTCAATGCTGTATTACTGAATCTAATGTCATTGGAGGGCGAGTTGGGCGGAGGGTGTGGTGAAATAGATTGTAAACATTTACAGCACCAGGTGGAGACGATTCAGCTCCTCAAGACCAGTTACAATTTGAATACATGATGGCTGATCCCTGATAAACGTAGGAACAGCAGGATGTCATTCAGACCCTCAAGCCAATTCGAATCTGACTGATTCGTGTATTCATCTCCTTCACCCACAGCCTCCCTTATTCCTCAACACCCTTCCTGACGTAAATCAATCAATTTAATCAATTCCTCGAAAGTGGAATCGCAGGTAGACAGTGTGCTGAGTAGGCGTTTGGTACACTTGCCTTCTTTGGTCAGTGCATTCAGTATTGGAGTTGGAATGTCATGTTGCGGCTGTACATTGGTGAGGCCATTTTTAGAATAGCGCATACAGTTCTGGTCTCCCCACTGTAGGAAAGATGTTGTTAAGCTTGAAATAGTTTAGTAAAGCTTTACAAAGATGTTGGTGAGATTGGAGATCTTGAGCTGTAGGGAGAGGCTGAATAGACTGGGGCTTTTACCCTGGAGCATTGGAGGTTGAAGAGTTATCTTTTAGAAATTTATAAAATCATGAGGGGCATGGTTGGGTGAATAGCCAAGTTCTTTTTTTTTCCAGGGTAGGGGAGCCTATAACTAGAAGGCATAGGTTTAAGGTGTGAGGAGAAAGATTTAAAAGGGTCTTGAAAGGCAGTTTTTTCACACTAATGGTGGTGTGTGTATGGAACAAGCTGCCAGAGGAAGTGGTGGAGTTGGGTACAGTTGCAATATTTAAAAGGCACCTGCATAGATACATGAATAGGAAGGATTTAGAGGGATATAGGCCAAAGGCTGCCAAATGGGATTAGATCAGTTTAGGATATCTGGTCATTGCAGACGAGTTGACTGAAGGGTATGTTTCCATGCTGTATGACTCTATAACTCTATCTATGCCTTTACTTGACATTTCAAAATAGTGATTGCGCTGGGGTATTGGGAGATGACAGGATTTGTCTGGGAAGTGGTGTGGACATTATTCTGAATGTTGTGATATTGTTCAGCTTGGGAGATGTATTGCATTACTTTGTATCACTGGCAAGCAAGTGACAGAATGAGAATGGGCTCGATCGGAACTGCCCAGATAGTTTCATCTGATAAACAGAATGTAACAATGACTTTGAGATTTATTTCAAGGCAAACATTTTCTTTAACCCCAGAACTTGAACCCACAATCCTGGCTCAGGAGACTAGTGCCTTATTTACTAGGACACTGGGGCTGTCCAAAATACGGATTTCGTGATTGTAAGTGGACCCTTTGTCTCTATGTAATCACTGCCAAATTTCACACCTTTTTACCGGCTGGTGCCTTCTTTTCAAGCACAACCCAACTGGATCAATTCTAGGAGTGAGCTGACAAGGATCGTGATTTGCATGTGAGCAATTAATGCTGCAAAGCATTGTTTGTATGTGAGGAACAATCGGCTATTAAAAACTTTCCTTGCTTGTCCTGACTGTCAGTTTCAGTGATTTTCCCGACGCTGATTCCTGGCCAACTCCGTGGTCTTGCTGTCTCAACCGGCCTCACTCTCGTCACATCAATCACAGAAAAGGCCATCTCTGATCACTTCTATGGATCACTCAGCACCCAAATCCCTCTTAAACATTCTAGCTCTACCACCTTCTGTGTCCCTCCAATAGAAATAACTATTTCCCAATTCACTGACAACTGCACTCTCACAATCCCTAATGTCTCGGCCTTTCATCCTCCTTTCTCCACAACATTTCTGCAGTGACTGATTTACTCAAAGCCAAACTCACCTCTGGATTCCGAGTCAGTGGATGTGAAACGTTAACTCGGTTCACTCTCCACAAATCTCCCAGACCTGCTGAGTTTCTCCAGCAATTTCTGTTTTTGTTTGTTTCAGGTCTCCAGAATCCACAGTTCTTTATTTTGTTTTAAGTTTGGTGTGTGATAGTACTCAGAGGAACTGGAGAGGTGAATAGACTGATACATCCTGGGAGAGGGGAATAGACTGAAACATTTCGGGAGAAGGGAATGAACCAGGGCATACTGAGAGAGGAACTGGCCAAATTGAAGGTTGAACATTACAAATTGGAGTTGAGGAGAGCTGAACCTCCACGGGAGTCGAACCTTCAACAGGGCAGGGCAGTCAGACTCAACACGTGGGGCTGAGACTCACACAGCGAGCCCCAACTCTCTCCCTGGGTCACAGAGCAATATGTCATATTTCTCTCTCCTATTCTCCTCTATCTCTTCCAGGTATACTTTCTCTCCATTGCCGTGTTCTCTGTGCATGTGCTGATCCCATCTCTACACGCCATCACTACCTTAGATGCTGCGGGTCTTCTTGTTCTGATCTGCTGTCAAAAATATCCGAAGCTGCGCATCCCACGGTGATGTCATTTTGAAGGCTAACAAAAATAAACAATCCGCACACGAGAAATCGAGACACCAGCTGCAATAAGTGAGGTTTTATTCACGTGGGACTATGCAAGTTTAAATTTCCACCTAACCCGCTACTCGAAGTCACCTCCATTTCACCGGTCAGTTTGCCAAGCTTCAGGAAACTCATGTTGCTGCAGAAATATTTGGATTGACTGTGACAGACGTCAATCAGAGAGCCCACCCACTCTGCCCATTCTCTCCTCTTCCTCTTCCAGAGCTGCTTCACTTCCTATACGTACTCGAAACCAAATGAGGATAGCAGCTTTTAGACAAATTGTTTTCCAGCAGCTACTCCGAGAGTTAACGCTGGTGTTCACGGTGAACAGCTGAAGAGCTGAGTCAATACTCAGCAGCGAGGTTCTGGTTTGAAATCAATATGTAGACAGGAGGTGAGTGAAATTTGATTTGAAGGAGAGAAATGTCTGATGCATTGCTTTGTCCTTTTCTCGATCATTCATTCACCTCTCTTGTGGAACTGCAGACAGCTTGTTGACCTGTAGACTTAGCCTTGCTCACGAAGGCTGTTATATTCAGTCTGCCTTTTGGAGAGAGGTGGCCTGGGAAATGTTTAATGAAGAATTTTGGAGAGAGCACAGAATAGATTTACAGGAACAGTTTCAAGATTGAGGAATTACAATTACTTGGATAGACCGAAAAGAGTAGAGTAGAAAAGACTAAGAGTACATTTGGTAGATATGTTTAAAATCCTGATGGGCAGAAGAGTCATTGTTTGTTTGGCCACTTCAGAGTCAATCATGTTGTGTGGAACTGGAGTCACATGTAGACCAGACCAGACAGTTGTAGCACCTTCCCCTCCCTGAATGACAATATCTGGGATTTTGAGATTGTCTAAAAAGCTTGCACAATTTTGTTTTGAATTTATTCTACAAATTTCAAATGGATTAAAATCACAGCAAGGAATGGTTGAAATAAAGAGCAGAGATGCCTTTAAGGGAACTGGACAAGCACATGAGGGGAAAGGAACAGAGGGACTTGCTGATAGGGTGAGATGAAGAGGGGTGGGGGGAGGCTCAAGAGCATAAACAACAGTATGGATCAATTGCTGCAAAAGCTCAGCAGGTTTGGCAGCATCTGTAAAGAAAAAATCAGAGTTAACATTTCGGGTCCGGTGACCGTTCCTCAGAACTTATGGTGGCTGGGAAAATGTTGGTTTATAAGCAGAAAATAGGTAGGGAGATGGGGTAGGGAGTAAATGATAGCTTAGAGCCGGAAAAGAGAGAAGAGCAGTTGGATAGACATAGGAGTTGATAACGATCTGGCTAGGAGGGTGAATAGTTGTTAATGGACAATGTTAGTGACTAACAATAGGTAGTGTGTAATGGCAGAGTATGTGATAGCAAGGCCTGGTGTGCGGGATGGGGGAGGTTAGGACATGGGAGAGTTTAGGCCCTAAAATTATTGAACTTGATATTGACTCCAGAGGGCTGCAGAGTCCCCAAGCGGAAAATGAGGTGTTGTTCTTCCCACTTGCGTTGAGCTTCGCTGGAACACTGCAGCAAGCCAGAGACAGAGATGTTGGCCAGGGAACAGGGTGGTGTGTTAAAGTGGCAGGCAACAGGTAGCTCACGGTCTTTTTTGCGAGCAGAACGTAGATTTTCTGCAAAGTGGTCACCCAGTCTACGCTTTTTTCCCCCAATGTAGGAGACCATATTGTGAGCAGTGAATGCATTAGACTAGATTCTGGGAAGTGCAGGCGAAGTGTTGCTTCACCTGGAAGGTATGTTTGGGCTCTTGGAAAGTCGGGAGGGAGGAGGAAACTGGACAAGTATTGCACCTTCACTGGTTGCAGGGCAAGGTGCCGTGGGGCTGTAGGGATGTGTTCGGGGTGAAGGAAGAGTGGAGCAGGGTGTCCCAGAGGGAATGGTCCCTGCGGAAGTTGTACAAGCGAGGGGAGGGGAGTATGTGTCTGGTGATGGCTCTCACTGGAGGTGGTGGAAATGGCATCTGATGATCTTCTGGATGTGGATGCTGGTGGGATGGTAGGTAAGGACAAAGGGAACCCTATCGCTCTGTGAGGACGGAAGTGCGGGAGATGGGTCGGACCTGGTTGGGGGCCCTGTCGACAACGATGCTGGGGAATCCTCGGTTGAGGAAGAAGGTAGACATTTCGGAGGCTTCCTTGTCGGTGGACCTCATCTGAACATATGCGACGGAGATGGAGGAACTGAAAGAATGGGATGGAGTCTTCAAAGGAAGCAGGCTGTGAGGATGTATAGTCCAGGTAGCTGTGGGAGTCAGTGGGTTTATAGTGGATATTAGTGGCCAGTCTATCCCCAGAGATGGAAACAGAGATGTCGAGGAAGGGAAGGGAGGAGTCAGAGATAGACCAAGTGAAAGTGAGGGCAGGGTGGAAATTGGAAGCAAAATCGATTAACTTTTCCAATTCCGGACGAGAGTGGGAAGCAGCACCGATGATGTCATCGATGTATTGGAGAAAGAGTTGTGGGTGTGGGCCAGAATAGGATTGGAACAAGGAATGTTCCACATACCCCACAAAGAGACAGGCATGACTGGGGAACCATGTGGATACCCAGCCACCCCTCTGACCTGAAGAAAATGAGAGCTCATAGTGATTTGCTAGCCTGTTTTACACTCTGCCCGACTGTTTATTTCAATGCCCTTATGGTGCCTGGGAAGATGTGGTGGGGCGGGGTGGGTCTGAGTGGAGGAGAGATATTATTTACATTGTCTCCTCCTGGTTCCAGACAAGTGAGGTAAAAGAAAAGACTTGCACCTGATTCCCCCCAACAGACAGGGGAATAGCAAACTGGCACTCATTGTGGAACTGTCTCTAACTAAGGAGTCAGTCCCCTACAGCAAAGGAGGAGAGGGAGTTGGAAGAAATCATGTTTCCTTTTACTGTTTTACAGAAGGACTGCACTGTGCTACACCAGAGAATAGAGAGAGGGTAAACATCGCAAATAGATCCCGACCATTACCCAAGGAACAACTGCTCAACTGCTGGAAGACATCCAATCTCTTCACAGCTTTGCTGAACCAAGAGGAGGTTGGTCAGTGAAACACAATCTGGAAATTGGTTGGGTCAGGGGAACTTTGACATATCATCAGATCTGAAACTGGTCAGAGCCTTTCATCAGAACCAACCTTTCTGAAGGTTTGGCTGAGGGTGATCGGTCAGGGGGAGGCTGGGAAGAAGTGTGAGTGGCTCCAAGTGTGGTGAGATCATTCATTGAGCCTTAAGACACTCATTCCTACAAGTGAGAGGTTGTTGTGTTTGAGGTGTACAAAGAAGGTTCACAGTTTGACAATATTTCTGAACACACAAGGTACATCTGTTGTGTAACGGTTAACACAACTGCAGCCACCTGCAAAAGAAACCAGTCGCAGTTTGGTGCACTATCAAGGCTCATGACTAACCGACGTATTCACATGAGAGAGAAACCATTCACATGTGAGGTCTGCAACAAAACATTCTCGGAGTCATCAAACCTCCGCAGACACCGGCGCATTCACACAGGGGAGAAACCGTTCACATGTGACGTGTGTGATAAATCATTCTCGCAGTCAGAGAACCTGCTGAGACACCAACGCATCCACACAGGGGAGAAGCCATTCACGTGTGAAGTGTGTGACAAATCATTCTCAGAATCAGAGAACCTTCGCACCCATCTACGCACGCACACTGGGGAAAAACCATACACGTGTGAGGTGTGCGACAAATCCTTCTCCCTCTCCTCTACCCTCCGCAAACACCAACATGTTCACACAAAGGAAAAACCATTCAAGTGTGAGGTGTGCAACAAATCATTCTTAGACTCTTCGACTCTCTGCTCACACCAACGCATTCACACAGAGGAGAAACCATTCACCTGTAAGGTGTGTGACAAATCATTCTCTAACTCATCAACCCTCTGCAAACACAGACGTATTCACACAGGGCAGAAACCGTTCAGATGTGGATTTTGTGAGAAGGCTTTCACCAACTCCTCTGATCTGCTGAAGCACCAACACATTCACACGGGAGAGAAACCATTCACTTGCAAGGTGTGCTGTAAATCATTCTCGGCATCATCATCCCTCCGCACACACCAACGCTTTCACACAGGGGAGAAACCATTCACTTGCAACGTTTGTGAAAAGGCTTTCACCATCTCATCTGATCTCCTGAAACACCAATACATTCACACAGGAGCAAAACCATTCCCGTGCAAACTGTGTAATAAATCATTTTCACAGTCGACAAATCTCCGCAGACACCAACGTGTTCACACAGGAGAGAAACCATTCACATGTGAGGTGTGTGACAAATCATTCACGGAGAGATCGAATCTTCACAGACACCAGCGCATTCACACTGTGGAGTAACTTTTCAACTGTGAGGTTTGTAATAAAGGAAATGTGATGTCTTCAAACGTCCTAGGACATCAGAGGATTCACAAGGGGGGAAATTCTTCAGGTTTGGTGTTTGCGACCAGGCTCTTACCCACTCCTCTCCCACTCTCTTTAAACATCAGATCTTACAGAGGTTAGAAACCATTCGGGTGTGTGACAACTGAGTGTAACTTTGAACAGAATGCTGACACTTGGGTGAGCAAGGGAGTTTTTAATCTCTGTTTAGAAATGTATTTGTATTTAACATTTAACTAACTTACTGTTTAAAGTCTAAATTGCATCCAGCTTTAAGCCAGGATGTACAAGCTCTCTGAGACCTGTTCATTAAGTTATTTAATTAAGTGAAGTTAGTTGATTCAGAAAACTAGCTTAAACATTTCTTTCCCTTACCTGGGGCTGAGCTAACTCACATCCAGGCATCTCAGTGTGACTTTGAATAGAGTGCTGGGAGTTAGGTGAAGAATGGGAGAAAGTGCTGCTTTGCTTTTACTAACTTTTCACCATATAGGAATGGGCTCTGACTAAAGTACAGGGGAAGAAGCTAACCATTTGGTGAATATTTGGTTAGTAATTCAGGCCTGTTCTAATGCTATGGTTTAAATTTGTCCAGAAGAGGTGGGAAGATTAATAAATATTTCAAAGGAAACTAAATTATTAAATAAAATCATTAAGGAGTTAATTCAAATACATTAAGGATGGGAGGACGAGTGACATGTCGCAGGTGTAGCAATGTGGGAGCTGCTGGATGCCAACTTGATCCAGTGCAAACACATCTTGAGAAAGTTTTTGGAGATCAAGCAGCTTTAGCTCAGGGTTTATGAGTAGGAGACTGAACTATAGAGACTGATGCATCAGGTTGGGGGAAATTTACTTGGACAGTTTATTCCAGGACACAGTCACACCCCTTAGAATATGGTCTTCTGAAATGATTATTGGAAAGGGAAAGGAAAAAGAAGATGTGACGACAACTTAAGCGAGTAAAAAGATGAAGAGGACAGGAATGCAGGAGCCTCAGCTTTTGTAATTGTCCAAGAGGCTTGAGGTTCATTCAGCACATTTGATGAGAGTGAGAGCTGCATGGTGGATAAGCTAACTGACCATAGCACTGTGACACAAAAAATTATTCAATCGGGTACGGTGCAAAAAGGAACATAGTGATATTAGGGGATGGTAAAGTCAGAGGGATTGACCAAAAGAACTGCAGATGCTGTAAATCATAAACAAAAAAAACAGAAATTGCTGGAAAAGTTCAGCAGGTCTGGCAGTGTCTGTGAAGAGAAATCAGTGTTAACATTTTGGGTCTGGTGACTTTCCTCAGAACTGATAGTAGCGAGGAAAATGCGAGACAACAAGGTGCAGAGCTGGATGAACACAGCAGGCCAAGCAGCATCATAGGAGCAGGAAGGCTGACGTTTCGGGCCTAGACCCTTCATCAGAAATGGGGGAGGGGAAGGGGGTTCTGAAATAAATAGGGAGAGAGGGGGAGGCGGATAGAAGATGGATAGAGGAGAAGATAGGTGGAGAGGAAACAGACAGGTCAAAGAGGCGGGGATGGAGCCAGTAAAGGTGACTGTAGGTGAGGAGTTAGGGAGGAGATAGGTCAGTCCAGGGAGGATGGACAGGTCAAGGGGGTGGGATGAGGTTCGTAGGTAGGAGATGGGGGTGCGGCTTGAGGTGGGAGGAGGGGACAGGCGGGAGGAAGAACAGGTTAGGGAGGCGGGGACGAGCTGGGCTGGTTTTGGGATGTGGTAGGGGGAGGGGAGATTTTGAAGCTTGTGAAATCCACATTGATACCATTGGGCTGCAGGGTTCCCAAGCAGAATATGAGTTGCTGTTCCTGCAACCTTCGGGTGGCATCGTTGTGGCACTGCAGGAGGCCCAGGATGGACATGTCGTCTGAGGAATGGGAGGGGGAGTTGAAATTGTTCACGACTGGGAGGTGCAGTTGTTTATTGCGAACCGAGCGTAGGTGTTATGCAAAGTGGTCCCCGAGCCTCCGCTTGGTTTCCCCGATGTAAAGGAGGCCACAATGGGTACAGCAGATACAGTATACCACATTGGCAGATGTGCAGGTGAACATCTGCTTGATGTGGAAAGTCTTCTTGGGGCCTGGGATGGGGGTGAGGGAGGAGGTATGGGGGCAGGTGTAGCACTTCCTGCGGTTGCAGGGAAAAGTGCCGGGTATGGTGGGGCTGGAGGGGAGAGTGGAGCGGACAAGGGAGTCATGGAGAGAGTGGTCCCTCCAGAAAGCAGATAAGGGTGGGGAGGGAAAAATGTCTTTGGTGGTGGGGTCGGATTGCAGATGGCGGAAGTGACGGAGGATGATGCGTTGGATCTGGAGGTTGGTTGGGTGGTACGTGAGGACGAGGGGGATTCTTTTTTGGTTGTTATTGCGGAAACGCTGCTTGGCCTGCTGTGTTCATCCAGCTCTGCACCTTGTTGTCTCGGATTCTCCAGCATCTGCAGTTCCTACTATCTCTGTAGCTAGGAAAATGTCGGTTTTCATGCAGAAGATAGGGTGGGGAAGGGGGTACGGAATAAATGATAGCTGGGGATACAGCCCAAAGAGAGAAGAACAGTTGGGCAGACAAAAGAGTGGGTAATGATCTGGCTAGGAGGGTGAATAGCTGTTAATAGAGACTTTTAGTAGCTAACAATGGGTTATGTGTAATAGCAGACTGTGAGATAACAAGGCCTAGTATGTGGGGATGGGGGCTGGGGCATAGGAGAGTGCAAGCCCTAAAATTATTGAACTTGATATTGAGTCCAGAGGGCTGCAGGGTCCCCAAGCGGAAAAATTGGTGCCCCTTTATTTTGAGATTATACTGCTAGTCTGAGACTCTCACATGAAGGAAATAATCTCTCAGCAATTACTCTGTCAAGCCCGCTGACATTCCTACATATTTCAATGTGATCACCTCTGATTCTTCTAAATCTAGCGAGTAGCCCCCAACTTATTTAGCCTATACTCATAAGACAATCCCTCCATACAGGGGAACATCCTTAGTGAACCTTCTCTGAACTGCCTCCAATGAAATGATACCTTTCCTTAGATAAGTGGACCAAAACTGCTCATAGTACTTCAGATGTAGTCTTACCAGCACCTTGTACAGTTGCAGTTTTCTTCCCTACTCTTCTCATCCAACCCCTTGAAGTAATTACCTGCTGCACCTGTGTGCTAGCTTTCTGTGTGCACAGGTACCCCCAAGTTGCAGCCAAAATTTACAGCTTGCTGCAGTTTTTCACCATTTAAATAACATTATGTTCTTTTGTTCTCCCTTCCAAAATGAACAACTTTGTATATTCCCGCATTATACTCCCATTTGCCAACCTTTTACTCACTTACTTAACCTGTCAATATCTCTGTCCACACTCTTTGTATCCTTCTTGTAACTTGCTTTTCCACAAATTTTCATGTCATCTGCAAATTTGGCTACAGTATGCTGAAGGATTGATGAAGGGTCCAGACCCAAAATGTCGACTTTTCTGCTCCTCAGATGCTGTCTTACCTGCTGTGCTCCTCCAGCTCCACATTTTATCGACTCTGACTTCCAGCACCTGTAGTCCTTTCTATCTCCTAGTCGCTGAAATGTACATTTTAACAGCAGTGAACCCTGTGGAATCCCACTGCATATAGGTTACCAACCTGAAAAAGAACCCTTTATACCCACTCACTGTCTTTTGCCCAGCCAAATATACCCTAATATACTTCCTCCAATGCTGTGGGGTCTTAAGACTTAGCCTTTTGTGAGATACTTTGTTAAACACCTTCTGGAAGTCAAAATACAACACGTCTACTAGCTCCCCTCTATCCACTCTGGTTGAGATATCCTCAAAAAACATCCTCAAAATAAATTTGTCAGGCACAATTTCCCTTTCATGAAGTCATGTTGACTCTGCTTGATTAGATTATGATTTTCCAAATGTGTTGCTATTCGTTACTTAATAATTGATTCCAAAACTTTTACAAAATTGATGTTACCTGCTTTTTGAGTTCCTCCCTTTTACAAAAAGGGTGTCACATTAGCAATTTTCCAGTCCTGCAGTACTTCTCTAGCATCCAAGGAGTTTTGGTAAATTACAACGAATGTATCTCTGTAGCTACTTCTTTTAGGATTCTAGCATGCAAGCTTTCAGGGCCAGGGCACTTATTTGCCATTAGTCCCATCAGTTTATCTAATACTATTTTCTACAGACAGTGATGGTATTTAATTCCTCCCCTGTATTCTTTAATATTAATAGGATGTTTCAAGTAACTTCCACTGTAAAGACTGATGCAAAATATCTTTTTAACTCCTGCCATTTCCTTGTTTCCTATAACCATCTCCCTAGATTCATTTTCTAAGGGGTCATAGAATCATACAGCACGAAATAGACCCTTCAGTCCGACATCCCAATCTGACCTTGTCCTATTTGGCCCATATGTCTCCAAACCCTTCCTATTTGTGTACCCATCCAGATGCCTTTTAAATGTTTTAATAGGTAGGTGATAGCCTAGTGGTATTATCACAAGGCTATTAATCCAAACACTCCGGTGATGTTCTGGGGACTTGGGTTTGAATCCCGCCTTGGCAGATAGTGGAATTTGAATTTGAAATAATAATCTGGAATTAAGACTCCAATGATGACCATGAAATCATTGCTGATTGTCAGGGGAAAAAAAATCACCTGGTTCACTAATGTCCTTTAGGGAAGGTAATCTGCCACCCTGCCTGGTCTGGCCTACATGTGACTCCAGACCCACAGCAATGTGGTTGACTCTTAACAGCCCTCTGGGCAATTAGGGATGGGCAATAAATGCTGGTCTAGCCAGCGGCGCCCACATCCCATGAATGAATTTTTAAAAAATTGTACCAGCCTCCACCACTTCCACTGGCAACTTGCTCCATGCACACACCACCTTCTGCATGAAAATGTTATTTCTCAGGTCTTTTCCCACCCACCTTAAACCTATGGTCTCTGGTTTTGGACTGCCCCACACTAGGAAAAAGACCTTGGCTATTCACCCTATCCTTGCCCCTTATGATTTTATAAACTGCTGTAAGGTCACTCTTGGCCTCCAATGCTCCAGGGAAAAAAGCCCCAGCCGATTTCAGCCTCTCCCTACAACTCCAGTCCCAGCAACATCCTTGTAAATGTTTTCTGCACCCTCTGGGTCAATGTTCATTTTGACCTCTGTCTTCTTTTTTCTATATTTAAAGAAACTCTTATAGTCACTTTCTTTATTCCTCACTAGTTTGCCCTCCTTGTTTATTTTCTCAGTCCTCTTTATCTTTTTAGTCCTCTTTTACTAGATTCTGAATTTATCCCAGTCTTCGGAGCTTTCACTGATTTTGCCTTTTTGTGTGCTTGGTTTCCTAGGTAATTTGTGCTTAACTATTAGTCTGGAGCTGTGTGTTAGATATTGAGTGGATTTATTGGAAGCATTTCCTTTCTGATTTAGAGATTGAGGTTTGTTGATGGCTTATTCCTAATCTGAGAAGGTGAGATTGAGATGTCATTATCTGGGAGGTACAGAGTGTCTGAAGATTCTTCCTGATTTCAATTGTTTGTGTGTGTGTGTTGGGAGCTGGTTATTACCCTTTGGACTGTGAATGGTCAGTTCTGATTGTGTATTGGAATGTGAATGTTAACTCTTGTCAAACCTCTCCAACACCTACCACGACCAAATCTCTGTAACCGCCTCAGAAAAGAAAATGAAGATTTACAATATGTAGAGCCTTTCACGACCACCAGATGTCCCAAAGTGATTTTCAGCCAAAAAAGTACTTTTTAAAATATCGTCACTCTCGATATGAATTCCTTTGAGTTTTGCCCTGGCTGGTCCGGGGATGGTATTATTTGTGAATGGCTGAAGGGCTGGGTCAGTGCTCAGAACTTTATGAAATTGAAGTTTGGAGAGGAGATCAATTGAATCTTATTCAATTTTGGGAAATGTGTGATGCGCTGCTTTGTCCTGTTTCCTGATTATTCAGCTGTCTTGTAGAAATGAAAGCAGCTTGTTGTTTTGTAGTCTGAATCACAGAAGCCCTAGTGTGGAAGCAGGCAATTCAGCCCAACAACATGCGAACAGCATCCCACGTAGACCTATCTCCCAACCCTTTCCCTGTAACCCTATTTATTTCCCATGGCTAACGTACATGACCGAACATCCCTGAACACTGTGGGCAATTTAGAATGGCTAATGCACCAAACCTGCACATCTTTGGACTGCCAGGAAACCAGAAACCTACACAGACATGGGGAGAATGTGCAAACTGCACACAGACAGTTGCCTGAGGGTGGACTTGAACCAAGTCCCTGGCAATGTGAGGCAGGAGTGCTAACCACTGAGCCACCATGCTGCCTTGCTAATGGAGACAATATAGAGGTTGTTTGTTACAGAGAGGCTGAGCTAGCCTGGGGAATGTTCAATGAAGATTTTTGGAGAATGTTCAGAAAAGATTTACTGGAAAACTTCTAGGATTGAGGGATTAAAATTACTTGGAGAGATTTGTTTGCTAACTTTCACATTTAAGTTGCCCCATAATTTTTCTCTGAAGATATTCATTTCCTCACTTTTAAGCTCTATGTTCTGAATGAAACTTGTGTTTTCTGCTGTGAAGACAAATAAAGCAGTAGTTCAGTGCTGCGACCATTTCCAAATTCTCCATAACATTTTCTGCCATCTCTGCTTCGAAGGAACTAATGTGTATGAGAGCTACTCTCTTCCTCTTTAAATATTTACAAAAACTCTCCCATCTGTTTTACTTTTTTTAAAATCAGTTTTTTGGCAGAGCTTTGCTAGTTTCTAAATAAACTCCCAATCCTCAAACTGTGTAGTTTTGTTCTTCAATAATGCAAGCCTCTTCCTTTAATCTTCATACTATCCTGAACTTCCTGAGTGAGACACTGAGTGGGGATTTCTTGCTTATTTTTCACTGCGTTTTTACAACGATACCTCTGAGTCTTATTTACCCAATTAGCCTGAACTGTGCCTCCCTTGTACCAACATAATTGGCTTCAAGTTTAGAGTTGTTAGGAAATTGACATTTTCAAACTCATGCTGGAAATCAAAGATATTGTAATCATTATTTCTTGGTGGTTCTTTTACTATGATATTACTAATCAATGCTGCTTCATCACACCGCAGATAGATCCTGACCATTACCCAAGGAACAGCTGCACAACTGTGGGAAGACATACAATCCCTTCACAGCATTGATGAACACAGAGAAGGTTGGGCAGCGAAACAACCATCTGGAAATCTTTTGGGTCAGGGGAGCTTTGACACATCATGAGATCTGAAATCGGTCAATGGTCTGCAGCCTTCCATCAGCACCAACTTTTCTGAAGATTTGGCTGTGGATGGTTGGTCAGGGTGAAGCTGGGAAGAAGAGTGAGTGGCTCCAAGTGTAGATAAAGCTTCAATCATTCATTCAGCCTCATGAATCATTTCTACAGGTGAGAGGCTATTCAAATGTGAGGTGTGTGAAGAGGATTCCAAAGGCTCGTAAAATATCCTGACACACAAGGTGCATCTGTGGAATAACTATTAACAAATGAATAGTTACATGGAAGAGAAACCCTTCAAGTGTGAGGTGTGTGATCGAGCTTTTAAACAGTCATTGATGCTTCTGAATTACTGTTGCATTCATGCAGGGGAGAAACCATTCAAATGTGATGCGTGTAACCAGAGCTTTGCGTATTCACACGGGGGAGGAATCATTTAGGTGCAGGGTGTGCAGTAAATTGTTATCACGGTCACTGACACTCCTCATGCACCAACATGTTATATGGAGAGAAACCACTTAAGTGCAACAAATCATTCTCAACATCATTAGACCTTCGTATATATCAATGCATTCTTACAGGGGAGAGACCAAACCGTGTGAAAAGTCATTCTTGTCATCATCAGTTCTCCATGTGCATCAATGCATTCACACAGAAGAGACTGGTCAGATATAAAGTGTGTAACAAATTGTTCTCACAGTCAGGAAATCTCTGCACATACCTTCGCACCCACACAGGGGAGAAACTGTTCAATAGTAAAGTGTCTGAAAGATCATTTTCTGCTTCACCAGAGAATTCAGACAGGGGAGAAACTATTCACCTGTGCCATGTGCAGTAAATCATTCACAAAGTCATAGAACCTCCTGTTCCCTCACAGGATCCACATGGGAGAGTGAAGGACTTACAATGGAACTTTCATGATGTCTTTGCTCATCCAGGGCACCACAGGATTTACACAATGGAGAGAGTCTACAGGTGCAGTGTTTGTGACAAGGCTTTCGCACAGTCAGCATTTCTCTTCATCAACACACCCACCCAGGAGAGAAACAATTTAGTGTGACTTTTGTAATGAAATATTAACAGTTTGTAGACCTTGTGGAACATGAGTGAACCCACAAACGAATGATCAACCTATATTTTTGCCCATCTTGTCCTCAGAGTATTTACCTGTACACAGGGTGTTCAGTGGGACTGGGACACAGAACAAGAAGCAGCTTTCACTCCCATCAAACACCAAGTGATGACATCACCAGTGCTGAGGGATTATGATGTCAACAATGGAGCCACCCTGCAGTGTGATGTCAGTGACACAGGACTTGGAGCATCCCCATACAGTGAGGGCAACCCGTTGTATTTGTATCCAGTTAACACAAACTGAACAACACTGCACACGGATGGATAAAGACAGCCTTGCTTTTGAACCTTTTGGGGGAGAGAGAAAGCAATCTGACCACAAGCCGTTCAAAGCATCTCTCTCAAACCACTTGTATTTGCACAAGGGCATTTGCACAGGCTGTTATTTTTCTTGTAGAGTCGATACTTGGAAATAAAGGACAAGCAAGGGAAGCAGATGTACATCGTCGACATGCTGTCGAGAGCTGCTGTCACTTTCAAGTTGATGGTGTTTGTACAAAGTGTGAAATCTTTCAGCAACAGTATGACATGCTCAAGAGTCATCAATCCAGTGGAGACATTGAACCAGATCTTCAGGTCTCCGACTGTCATAGACTGGAGGTAAGATATTGGAGCTGTTTACACTGACACACTGTTCTATAGCAAATGTGTAGGAAGTTTGAACATCCAATAAGTCAGGACCCTCCAAAAGTTCAGACAGTCCATCCCTGAGACTTGAGACAATTCCAAAGTATTCGCCTGGATAGTTACCAGGAAATTTTAGGCAGGAAGAAACTTTGTATATCTGCTGGGTGTCCATGCAGCTACTCACACTGACCTTGCAACTATCCCACTACCACAACCCTCTAACTCCCTGAGATCTGGCCTGATGAGACCATCACTCCAGCAGACTCAACTGTCCAGCTTTCATCACCCGACTACCCATTAAAAACCAAACTTATCTAAGACCTGAACCACCAACTCATTCACCAGCGCACCAGGTACCACCTGTACTCATTCTCTTCACTGCTGTCTGTGTGGATTCCTGCACTGATTCTCTTTACTTTTCCATGTAGATTCCTGTAGTGAGGAAGTTCATCTCACTGCTGCATCAGAAGTTTGATCAGAAAACCAAACTAGGTAATCGGTAATTTTCTGTCTAGTGTCAAACACAGGGACTCTGACTCAGAGTCAAAGGTTTGGAATAACCTACCAAATCAAGCATACTACACAAGGTGTAACTTTTCAAATGCTAGGGAAAGTCGAGGTAAAAGGATGGCCTGCATCCATAAAGGACAGACATGGTACTGTAAGAGAGTAAACGGAGATGAAATGATCACCGAAGATGGTGATACACCATGTACAAAAGAAGAAGGATCATTAACCTGAAAGAGATGAGAAAAGACATACTGAAGCACATCCTACACAAATTATTAAGGAATTGAGTCTAGTCTATGGAAGGAAAGAGAAGTGCTCTACTGGCTAAAACAAGCAATGAGATAAAGGACCACATCAGCAAGTGCTATGTTTGTAATGAACATCAAACTAAACCAGATAAAGAGCTGTTCATGACTGCTGACATCCCAGACAGCCCATGGATAAAACTTGGAGTAGACCTCTTCATTCTCACTGGAACTATCTTGTCACAGTCAACTGCTATTCAGGTAGCGGGGAGTTACAGCAGTGACATCAGTGACTCCCAGTGAGACTGTAGAATGTATGAAAGCACACTGCAGTCATTATGACATTCCTGATATTGTGATAAGTGAGAATGACCGCAATTCATGAGTGACAAATTCAGACAGTGATTTGAGAAATTCAGCCCCCCATATCATTTTCACACTATCACCAATATAATAGAAAGGCTGAAGAACTGGTGAAAATTGCTGAAGGGATAAATGTGTACAAAGTGATCTTCAAGCGAAGAAACACACCTACCGAAGGCAGGAAAAGTTGCCCAGTCCAGCAGGTAATGTCACATGGTACACAGATTGCTCTTCCAATTGATAAAATTCGACTGAGGTCAGAAATAGGAACGGGACTGAGTGACAAGATCAAAGTGAAATGACAGAAAGCTAAACATTACTTTGAGCAATGTGCTAAATCATTGTCAGGATTGAGAGTTGGACAGCCAATCAGAGTGCAGATGTTCAATGCATTCAAGAAAAGGCAGCCTGTGTGGTAACTTGAGACTTGTGTACAGAAGTTGTCACTGTGATCGTTAACAGTGAAAGGAAACTGTCAGATCCGTTGTCAAAACAGCAGTCACCTAAATGCAGCCAGAGAAAGTGCATCTTCATTGCAAATAGCTGAAGAGGCAACTGAGTGAAGAACTGAATGACCATCAGTCTCAGAAGTAAGCCAGCCCCCCAACAAATGCAATGTATCAGCAACAACAGTTATCACAGTAACAATGACTTCCTGAGAACACTATGGGTATATTGACACCACCACAGCCTGCTTCAAGAAGCTCACTACCATCTTCTCAAGGTCAGCTGGGAACTCTGCAACAAATAGTGGCCTAGCAAGTGATGTCCACATCCGAGGAACAAATTTAAAAAAACCTACTGGCATGGCCGCTATATTCCCCAGAGAGACAGCGTCACCTCAAAAACCAAAAAACATTGAGATAAACAGCCAACAATTAACACACATATGAGAAGACCTAAACAATATAATGTGTGTATAGACACAGAAGAAATTGGAAGAGACAAAGAACAAAGTTATTTGTTCATTTCATAATTTTCTGTATTGACTGTGAATATGGAGTAATTTTTAATTAAATACTTTTTCAATATGAAGTGGGGTGATTGAAATAAGTATCTTTAAACACTGTAAATTGCCATATGATTGTGATCTCTGATGTCGATTGTAAAGAAAGATTTTGATGGAAATAGCAATTTTACATGAAACATGGATCATTGTTTACAATTCCGATTGCTCCAAATACATTTAATGAATTTCCAGAAGCTTGAGAAATTGACTGGTGAAACAGAGGTGACTTTCAGCAGCAGATCAGGTGAGGATTTAAACTTGTCATTGTCCCATCTGAATAAAACCTCACTGACTTATTACAGCTGTTGTCCTAATTCCCCTGGCAATCATTTAATGGAAAATGCTAGTGTGACAGAAGCATTCTTCATCCTCAAAGACTTTCAAACTGACATCAATGTGGGATGTGTAGCCTCAGATGTGTTCAGATCAGAAGAGAAAGACCCACAGCATCCAAGGCAATGATGATGTGCAGTGGTGGATACTGCACATACACAGGAGAGAGGGGCATAGGACAGAGACATATGGGAGTAATGGGGTCCAGGAGAGAGCAAGGAAGGTAGAAGCAATTAACTCTTTTCTCCTCCTTTTCTGTATTCCATTTCTGCCCAAACCTCCACACTCTCTTCAACCTGATCCTGTTTCCTACCTCTTCTTCCTTCTAAATACTCTATTTTACATGCTTTCTCTGTCTCTTTAATATGTCCTCCTCCAGCAATATGACAGAGGAATAAGGGCAAAGTTCACTGTTTTGAATTCCATCATAAATGAGAAAAAGACTGCAATATTATTGAGGTAATAATGGAACTATGACAATATCAAACCATTTTAAGATATGTCTTTTGTTTACATTTCACAACTGAACTAAACTGTTATCTGTGGGCCTGTAATTTGCTGAATAGCTATAGTTTATCGCCTGCTGTGATGAATATGACTGACTCTTGGTGCCTGAATACCCAAAAACTCTGAATGTAATTTTAAGAGCCCCCCTCAAACAAGCACAATTAGCAGAAACTCACCACTTGGCAGGACAGTGGTTAGTACTGCTACCTCACAACACCAGGGACCTGGGTTTGATTCCAGCCTTGGGTGACTGTCTCTGTGGAGTTTTCATGTTCTTCCTGTGTCCGCATGGGTTTCCTCTGGGTGCTCCGGTTTCCTCCCACAGTCTAAAGATCTGCAGGTTAGGTGGATTGCTATGGTAAATTGCCTGTAGCGTTAGAGATGTGCAGGCTAGGCAGATTAAGCCATGGTAAATGCGGGGTTACAGGTTTAGGGTGGAGTCTGTGTGGGATGCACTTCGGAGGGTCGGTGCGGACCTGGTGGGCTGATGGCCTCTTTCAACATTGTATGGTCATTTCTATGGTTACTACCAGCTTCCTGACTGACATTCAATGAAACAGTGTTAAAGATCTCAAAAATTTAATTTACACTTGATGTAATTGACAATTAAAATTCCATTTTAGCAAGATTGGATGATAAAACAGACATAAACTAATGCAAACTCTCTGCTGTCACGGTTGTTATACATTTAACAAGTTTTACTGAAGCAAATGTTGAAAAAAAATGTTTTATTGAAGAGTGGTAAGTTGTGATCTGATTGGCTTTATGATCAATGCAGTGTGTAAACTGGATAATTTTGTGATGAAAGGGTAGTTGATGAGAGGAAGACAACAGTGACTGAAGAAATCTGCAATGTGTGATCAGTACTTTGTGGTCACGGGTCAAAAAGATGTGGTTTTCTGCTACAAAGATCTGCAAGGACTCGTTAACTGCATCTGACAAGATGAGAGCTAAGATTATTTACCTTTAAGAAGGCCTTGGATATTAAGTGTCGAAGTTGTGTTTTCCTAATTAAAGTTCAAACAGTTATAAAACTGAATAAGACTATCTTAAAGTGAGAGAAAGCTGCAAGATAGAGAGGAGCAAAAGTAAATACAACTGCTTGGCAACAATCCCAGGCTATGTAATTAACATGATAAACATTAAGAACTTGAGGGGGTCAGTGTGATCATTGAGGGAACTGAGCTGGTTAGCACTGAGGTCACGGAAAGATCTTGTTCAGCAATTTTACTACCCGAGGACAGATGCTTATCTACAGGAAGGCCAATTGTCAGTATGTGAATTTACTTGTAATAGCTCCACCTACACACACATGCGAATAGAGACTCAGTACAGAAATTTGATAATGCCACACACTTGTTCTGCACCATTGCCTATCCAGGGGAAGGCCAGAATCTAGATGGTGGACAGTCCCGGTAAAAGAGGAGGTGTCTACACTTTCTTTATTTGTTTTACAACATGGGCTGTGTTTCAATCGACAGAGGTAACAGATCAGGGAGGCTGGGTAAAAGTTAAATTTATTGAAGGTTCTAAATCTATACAACAGATTAATAAACATCAGATGAAAATAATTACATCCTGAACCATGAATCAATTAAAATAACAAAAGGCTTGAAAATAACTAAGATTTTTCCTAGAACATAAAATGAATCTTGAAAGCGTATAAATTGAATATATCACACCATCATTACACTGAGGTATGATGACCTGAGGGAATTTGGGTCTGTAGAGATTCACCCCCATTCTCTCACCATACTCAGGATAATCGACCTCCTGGATTGCACAGTACACGCATTCCCCATGGTAGTAGTCAAACACCTGTTTGTACACACACACACATAGATCTCTCCATTCACCAGAATGTTTCTGTCACCATCAATCTGGTAAACCAGATCTCTCATATCCAATTCCTATAGCCTTGTTCCCAAAATTACATTCCTCTCTTCCTTCCTGCTTGATATCCCTGCTTCTCAATTCCAGAAGAGAACAGACACCTTCTCCCCAAAACCAATCGTGTCCTTGTGGAAGTTATGTTCCAGCTGTACAGAGCTCTGTTTAGACCCTACTTGGAGAACTGAGTTCAGTTCTCATTACTAAATTTCAGTAAGGCCTTGGAGGGAGTGCACTGTAGATTCACAAGAATGTTCCTGGGGCTTAAACTGGTTCAAATTAGATAACAGGTTACACAGGCTGAGCTTGCATTTGCCTGAATGTGGAAAATTACGGGATAATCTAATTGTGATGTTTAAAATGATTCATCTAGTTGACAGAGAAAACAAGAGTTGACCAGAGAAAACCCCGTCACCCATCTCTAACATCCCCTCCTCAAACCTCTCTGATGTTTACCTTTCTCTTTTTGTTTCATACTACCCTCATTTCCACTTTTTGAGCAAACGTTTAATTGTAAAACCAGAAGGTGTAGGAGCAGAAGTAACCCATTTGGCCCATCAAGTCTACTCTGCCATTCAATGAGATTGTGGCTGATTTTATACTGTTACAGCCAAGCCACATCCCGCCCTCCCCCAACTTCCCAGCTGGGCTCACTGATGAGGAACGGGATTCCTGGCTGATTCTCCCCCTCCATAGATCAGAGACACTGAGGCTATTTAAGGTACCTCCTTTATTACCCCAGGAATGGCTCCTCCCTTGGGTGCTTGTTGATCAGAAGCTGAAGCCTTTCTAACCACTGAGTGTTTGACTGTCTTCTTGGTCAGAGCGAGAGTCAGCGAGTGACTTGTACCTGCCACTGCACTGAAAGGAAGCTGAGTTTATACAGGAGCTTCTACACATATTGTCTCCTTTTCGTGACGTTTCATGATCTAGTCACAGGTGCGATACAGATGCTGCTGAGACCCAAAGTACTTTGGAATAACAGCTCCCCTGTGTGAGCACTGGTGGGCAAACGACACAGTCAACTCTCAATGCAACAGAAGCAAGTGACCCGGCTTCACATCCATGTGGCAATGACAGTGTCTGGTGAGAGAGGAGGAAAAGGAGGAGGTAAAACAAGATTTGCACGTCACACTGGAAGGATTTGACTCTGTTTGGGTTCACTGATCTTCCAGGAGGTCCGAGAATTGTTCAAAGGTTTTACTAACGCGGTTCCTTGTAGTCATGAATTCATGGATGGGGAGATACGTGAGCCATGTGAAAGCTTTGTTGCTGACCTCACATGTGAAAGGATTCTCTGAATCTGCTAGTGTTCCGGGAGGGTCCAAGAATTCAGGAGAACGTTATCATAAATGTCTTACTTAAATCATTGGCCCCCTTTGTGGATCCTCTGATGGATTGCGGCTTTAACAAGTTGGTGAAGGCTTTCTCACACAGCTCCTGCCTGAACAGCTTCTCCACAGTATGTCAGTATTTCATGAGCATTGATGTCTGTGTGAAGGCTCAGTCACACACCTCACATTTGAAAGGCTTTTCCCTGTGTGAATGTGCCGGTGATTTAACAAGCCTGATAACTGTGCAAAGCCCTTATTACACACTTCACATGTGAAAGCTTTCTCTCCTGTGTGAAGGCGAAGGTGTTCACGGAGAATAGAGGACCGCGAAAATGACTTGTCACACTCTGTACATCTGAATGGTTTCTCTCCGGTGTGAGTGCGTTTGTGTGTGTGAAAGTGAGATGAGCGTGAGAAAGATTTGTCACAAACCTCACATTTGAATGGTTTCTCCCCAGTGTGAATGCGTCGGTGCTGTATGAGTGTTGATGACTGCGTGAAGGCTCGGTCACAAATCTCACACTTGAAGGGCTTCTCCCCTGTATGTATCCTCTGGTGTGTCAGGAGATCTGATAATTGGACAAAAGATATCTCACAAATCTCACATTTGAAAGGTTTGTCCTCTGTGTGAATCCTCTGGTGTGTGAGAAGCCTTGTAGACGTTGCAAAAGCCTTATTGCAAACATCACACTTGAAGTGTTTCTGCCCTGTGTGAACTGCCTGATGGACCAGGAGGTTTGATGACTGTGTGAAGGATTTGTCACACACTTCACAGGTGTACAGTTTCTCCCCTGTGTGAATGCGCTGGTGAGCGCGCAGTATTGATGACTGTGAAAATGATTTGTCACACACCTCACATGTGAATGGTTTCTCCCCTGTGTGGATGCGTTGGTGTGCACGGAGGTTTGAAAAATGTGAGAATGGTTTGTCACACACCGCACACATGAACGGCTTCTCCCCTGTGTGACTGCGTTGGTGAAGGCTGAAGTGGGATGAGCGTGAGAATGATTTGTCACACACTTCACATTTGAATGGTTTCTTTTCCATCTTGCTTCTTGAGTTAACAGTTGATGCAAAAGATCTGCCTTGTATGTTGGGAAATCTTATGAGACTGTGCAGTCCTCCTCCGCATCACCTGAACAGCCTCTCACCTGTTAAAAAAGTCAGTGGTTCATGAGGCTGAATGAATGATTGAACCTCTTGCCACACTACGAACACAGTCATACTTCTTCCCAGCCTCACCCTGACTGATCACTCACAGCCAAACCTTCAGAAAGGCTGGTTCTGATGGAAGGCTCCACACCACTGACCGGTTTCAGATCTGATGATGAGGCAGAGCTCCCCTGACCCAACCGATTTCCAAGATGATGGTTTTACTGCCTGACCTTCTGTCTTGAGCAGTGCTGTGAAGGGACTGGATGTCTTCCTACGGTCTTGCAGTTGCTCCTTGGATGATGGTCAGTATCCAGCCGCAGTGTTTCTCCTCTCTGCATTCTCTGACGTCGTACAGTGCAATTCTTCTGTAAAACAGGAAAAGGAAACATGATTTTCTCCAACTCCCTCTCCTCCTTTGCTGAAGGGGTTGACTCCTCAGTTAGAGGCTGTTCCACAGCGAATGCCAGTCTCCTATTTCCTGTGTGGGGGGGTAGGGGGGGATTCATATGTAATTTCTCTTTTTTTCCTCACTTGTCTGTCACAACCCTGTTTCCAACAGGGACACTGGATACTGACCAGGACCAGACAATATGGCTACTTTCTTTCCTCCGCCCAGACCCCATCTTCCCAGACAAGATGAGCACAATGGAAAAGAGATTCAGGTGGAACATCAAAAAAGCCATCTATTTGCTGTGAGCTTGCATCACTGAATCGTACCAATCTGGAAACATCCCAGACTTCTCTGCCACCATCCCTGGGAATGTCGCATCCCACTGGCATGTGGGAAGTCCTTAGTGTTGACTGCATGGCGTCTCATGCCTTCAGGTCAAACAAGTTCAAGAAAAATTACCACTCCCCTCCCATTTGATTAATAAGTACTTCACCGTGTTCAGCATCACCAGGGAAGCAGACTGAGGACAGATCCCCAAGCTGGGAGTCCATGAGATGTATTCAGCCATCAGCAGCAGCAGGATTGTATTCCACTACAACGTAAACAGCCTGCTACAGCTCTCATTCCATGATTATCATCAAACTAGTGGATGGACATCAGCAATGATCTTATTGATGGCAGGGTAGGATTGAGAGACCAAATGAACTACTTCTGATCTTAAGACTTGTATGTTCATAACAGAACACATTGCGTTGTTGGACTGATTCCTGTAAAGACAGTAATGCTGCAGATAGCGCAACATTAAAGTATACCTAGCATAGGTGACTGGTTATGTGAGAAATTGAAAAGGGTTTTTTTTTCTGTAAAAAGTGCTGCAAAGCACATTTACTCAATGTTAATTTTCAAGTCCAGTGACTCCTCATCAGACAAAGGTCAGTTCTGATGAAGAATCACAGGGCTCAAAATATTAGCTCTGTCATTCTCTCCATGGATGCTGTCAGACCTGCTGAGTTTCTCCATCACTTTCTATTTTTGTTTGCTTCAGATCTCCAGCATCCATAGTTGTTTGTTTTTTTTTACTGTTTAGTCAATGTTGCTTTTAGTTTGTTTTTTTTTAGAATAAACACCTTAGAATGGGAAATTGTGTAGTACAATTACTCTTCAGTGGTCACTGGGAATAAGGATCTCTTTTAAATATTAAACAAAAACAGAAATTGCTGGAAAAGCTCAGCAGGTCTGGCAGCATCTGTGAAGAGAAATCAGAGTTAACATTTCGGGTCCAGAGTCCCTTCCTGAGAACTGACGGTAGCTAGGAAATGTTGGTTTTTATGCAGAAGGTAGCGTGGAGGGACAGGGTAAGTAGTATATGACAGATGGAGATACAGCCCAAAGAGACAGAAGAACAGTTGGACAAACAAAGGAGTGGTAACAATCAGCCTAGGAAAATGAACAGCTACCAATGGGAACAATTAGTGGCTAACAATGTCTGTAATAGCAGACCATGTGATAACAAGGCCGACTGAGTGGGAGTTGGGGTAAGGAAATAGGAGGAGGTGCCTTAAGCTCTAAAATTGTTGAACTCAATATTGAGTCTAGAAGGCAGCAGGGTTCCCAAGTGGAAAATGAGGTGCTGAGCTTCGCTGGAGCACGACCGTAAGCTTGAGACAGAGTTGTTGGCCAGGTAACAAGGTTGTGTGTTGAAGTGGCAGGCAACTGGAAGCTCAGGGCCTTTTTTTGTGGATAGAACAGAGGTGTTCTGCAAAGTGTTCGCCCAGAATACACTTCATTTCCCCAATACAGATGAGACTACATTGTGAGCAACAAATACAGTAGACTAGATTGAGTCAATTGCAGGCAAAGTGCTGCTTCACCTGGAAGATGTGTTTCGCTCCTTGGACAGTGAGAAGGGAGGAAGTAAATGGGCAGGTGTTATACCTCTGTGGTTGCAACGGAAGGTGCCATGGTTCTGGGGGCTTGTTGGGAGTGAAAGAGGATTGGATCAGGGTGTCCCAGAGGAAATAGTCCTTGCGGAAGGCTGATAGGGGAGGAGAGGGAAATGTATGTCTAGTGGTGGCATCCCACTAGAAGCGGTGGAAATAGCAGATAACAATCCTTTGGATCTGGTTGCTGGAAGGATAGTAGGTGAGGACAAGGGGTCCTTATCACTGTTGTGGGAGGGAAGAGAGAGGCTGAGGCTGAAGTGAGGGAGATCGGTCTGTCTGAGGGCCCTGTCAACTAGTGCTGGAGAATCGTCAGTTGAGGAAGAAGGTGGACATTTTGGAGGCCACTTTGTCGAAGCTGGCATCATCAGAACAGATGTGACGGAGACAGATGAATTGGGAGAATGGAATACGGTTTTTACAGGAAGCAGGGTATCAGAATTATAGTGAAATTAACTGTGGGAGTCAATTGATTTGTAGTGGATATTGGTGGCCAGCCTATCCCCAGAAATGGGGATATTGAGGAAGGGAACGGAGAAGGCGGAGATGGACCAGATAAAGGTATCAGAGATTGGCAATTGGAATCAAATTGATAAACTTTTCCTATGTGGACAAGAGTGGGAAACAGCACCAATGATACCATCGATTTACCAGAGAAAGAGTTGTGGGTGGGAGCTGGAATAGGACTGGAACTGTAACCCACAAAGAGTCAGGCATAACTGGGGCCCATGCAGATAATCGTATCTTTTATCGTATCTTTTTAACATCTTTTCTGTTTCTACGGAATCTGAGGAATCTCTCAAAAAACACCATTAAAAAAGTGCATATCCGAAATATAACAATGAAATTGTGGGATCTTACTGTGCACGGATTTACTGCCAAGTTTCCTACACTGCAATAGTATCCACACTTACAAAAAAAAAACTCATTACCTGTAAAAAGCTTTGGGACATCTGGTGATTATGAGAAGTTCTATATAAATGTTTTATTATCTCAAGCGGTTACAGAGATGGGGTGGAGGGAGGTCTTGGAGCAATTTAAAAAGAAGGAAACATCCAGATCCGAAGACACACAGAGAACTAACCATTCCCAGTCCAGACGATAATAACCAGCTACCAACACACACAAAACTCAACAAGAGGAAATTAGGAAGAAGCCTCAGACATTCTGCACCTTCCAGATAATGACATTTCACCTTCTCATATTCACGAATGAGCCATCAACAAAACTCAGCCTGGAAATCAGAGGGAAATGCTTCCAACAAACACACTCAATATCCAACACACAGCTCCAGTCAAACAGTTCAGCACAAAGCACCGAGTAAACAGCTCTCTCAGCTGGATCTTCTCACACAGCATAAGGGACATTTCCACCCTGATTGCCCTCAGGATAGTCAGACTGCCTGAAGATTGGTGTGGATATTATGGGATACAATTTGTATAAAAGCTGCTCCTTCACTCACCATCTCCTCACTTGGTTTTCAGTCCCTATAGGAAGTGAACCAGCTCTGGAAGAGGAAGAGGGGTGTCGAGAAGCGCGAGCCCAGCATGGCTAGGCGCTTATGAGTTGTGGTATTAAACTGTTAACTGCGTTTCTCGTTTTTCTATTTTTAGTAAGAATGACTTTAATGTTTATTTTTTTTAACTTTGTTTTCATTACTTTTCTGCTTTGTACCTAAGATTCTGAATCTACGTACGATTCAACCTTAGAGGGCATAGTGGGTGGCAACTTGCAAACTTTAACATGTGACAATAAACCTCATTCCAAATTCATCAAAATGCTATAATGGGCAGAGTGGGTGGGCTCTCTGATTGACGTCTCTCACAACCAATCCAAATATTTATGGAGCAACATGAGCTTCCTAAAGCTTGGGAAACTGACAGGTGAAATGGAAGTCACTTTGAACTGCTTATCAGGTAAGGATTTAAAGTTGTCATTGACCCATCTGAATAAACCCCCACTGATTGCTTTCTCAGTTCTCTTCGTGAATGTTTGACATAGATTTCCTGTGTGGGAAGAGCGTTCTTCACCCTGGGAGGCTTTCAAACTGACAATAGATGTGTGAGATGCGTAGCCATGGATGTAATTAACAGCAGATCAGAAGAGTAATTGCCAACAACATCAGTGTTTTCTGCAAATCATCACTTTGAAGAGAAAGGGTGATTGGAAATAGAATGGAATTGAAAGCATGGAGGGTGAACGGATTTTTTTTGAGAAAGGTGACAGAATCAGGTTCAAAAGGCAGAGGGACAATATCTGAAGAGAGGAAACCGTGAACAATCTTGGTGAACATCGGGACCAGGAGGGGATGTTGAATGATCAGTTTAGTGAGAATCAGCTCGAAGGAACAGGAGATTGGTCTCATGGACATGATGAGCTCAGGGAGATCATGAGGGGAGATAGGAGAAAGGAGACAAAGGTGAGTGTTCAGGGTTAGGAGTGTATTAATGGAAGGTTTCCCAGGTGGGTTGGTGGTAGAAAGGGAAATGTCGTGAACAGAGAGGCCATTTACCAGGGAGCAGAGATTTAAAATCAGTGATGAAAGGATTAGAGAGCTGAGGAGTATATTTTTTTCTCCCAGAAGGTGGTGAGGAATTGGAACTCATTTCAGAAATCATCATCACTCTTTAAAAAAAAACTTGGATACAAGCTTGAAGGAATAGCTTGTGCACATTTAAAATAAGATTGAAATAACTTTTCAACATTCACACTGTCCAGCAAGCACACACCCGGAAAATTACATAGTGTATTACATTCAGAGTCAATCTCTATCTATACTGCCCCTGGACTGTAGGGTTAAACCGATCATTCTCACACCTGGAACAGGAACAAGACTCACCTACTGAAGTTATTCAGAAGTTCCTACGTTACTGACCTTAATATCATGTTTGAAGCAAGACCATGGCAAATTGGGGAGGGCAACTACCAGAAAAGTGATGGGAGAACACACTGTAGCTCAGTCTCACTGAGGAATACCACAGATTTTCAGACAGTTGCTGGTTGTTCTGGAGTGTGGCTGTGCATAGATCACTGAAAGTTGCCACCCAGGTTGATAGCGTTGTTAAGAAGGCGTACGGTGTGTTAGGTTTTATTGGTAGAGGGATTGAGTTTCGGAGCCATGAGGTCATGTTGCAGCTGTACAAAACTCTGGTGCGGCCGCATTTGGAGTATTGCGTACAATTCTGGTCACCGCATTATAGGAAGGATGTGGAAGCATTGGAAAGGGTGCAGTGGAGACTTACCAGGATGTTGCCTGGTATGGAGGGAAGGTCTTATGAGGAAAGGCTGAGGGACTTGAGGCTGTTTTCGTTAGAGAGAAGAAGTTTAAGAGGTGACTTAACAGAAACATACAAGATGATCAGAGGATTAGATAGGGTGGACAGTGGGAGCCTTTTTCCTCGGATGGTGATGGCTAGCACGAGGGGACATAGCTTTAAATTGAGGGGTGATAGATATAGGACAGATGTCAGAGGTAGGTTCTTTACTCAGAGAGTAGTAAGGGCGTGGAATGCCCTGCCTGCAAATGTAGTAGACTCGCTAACTTTAAGGGCATTTAAATGGTCATTGGATAAACATATGGATGATAATGGAATAGTTTAGGTTAGATGGGCTTCAGATTGGTTTCACAGGTTGGCGCAACATCGAGGGCCGAAGGACCTGTACTGCGCTGTAATGTTCTATGTTCTACTTGAGCAAGTGGGATTTAGGATAGCTGTGTTTTTGCTTGATGTGGGAATCCTTTATCAATATCTAGTCTGAAGGTTGTTCCTCTGTCTTAGTCTACCCACTTTGTTCCATCAGTCTCACTTCTCCTGACAGAGGGACTTTACCACCTTTCACAGCTTCAGGAACCCAGACACAAAGCCAACACTGACACTGCAGCTCTAACTAGTTTCCAATTTAAAGTGAATCAAACTTTCTGGCTCCCAATTTAGAGAGGGAGAAGCATTCACACAGCCTTGGGACTGCATCACTAAGAAGATGAATCTAACAAAAATGTCATGTTATTTTCAATCATTAGTTATCCCTGTTGTTTGTGAGTCACACCAGAGACCTGAGCTCTGAATCTGACATGTCACTGTGTGTTGGAGCAGATAAGAAAATAAGACATTCACAACAGTACACTCCAAAAGGAACTTTATTGGCTATGGATGTTCTGGGATTACAAAAGGTAATGTGAAAAAATAATTCTTTCTTTCAATGTTCAGTAATGTTCTGCTTCCTGTGAACTGGTCATGATAAACTCATTGATAGAGAAAGTATCCCAGCCACAGAGACTTTGACGAATATATCGTATATAGGACACTTCCTATAGGATCCTGAATGTTTCAGTGAATAGGAACACCAGGCTGGCAGATAATGTAGTTTGTTTTAAATTTTAAAAAGTATGTTTATTACAGGTTATAAATCTATACAGGAAGTTGAACAAACAACAGATAAACAATAACTTAATATTCAGCTAATGCCATACTTTGAATTAATCAAAATAACAAAACATTTGAAAATTCTTCAAGATCTTTCCCCCAGCATGAAATGAAACTTGGAAGAGTACAAGATGAACATATTATACCGTTATTATATCGAGGTATGATTGCTAAGGAAGCTCACCATACTCAGGACAGTAGTCTTCCCAGTCAGGAGAGTACAAACTTTACCCATGGTATTAATCAAAACATATGTCACTTGAAGCGGATTTGTTTATAAATCACCAACTAAAGCAGGGTCTGATTCTATTGCACACCCTCTCCGGAAAGCTGGTTCACTTTACCAACACACACACCCTCACATCAGGGGAAACTCTCAGAATACAACAGACACGTTTTTTGTAAAATCCCTGTGCTTTAGTCTTGCTCCCAATTCTGATGGTCAGAAATGACACCAAACTTCAATGATACAGGATTGAGCTTGGTTCCATCATACAAACAGACGAACGGCTACAGAGAATGATCATATGGGTTCATAGACCAAACAGTTTCCATTCCTTCCCCCAGACGCGTCGGACAGGACTTTGTAATTTGCAACTCTCTGTCCTCCATTGACCACAATCCTACTGTAGCCTCCAACCTGTTTTAACTATCGTTGATATCCATGCATTTTACTCTCTTTCTTCCTAGTCAGTTTCCTTATCGATTCAGTCTATGAGAGAAAATTTGAGTGTATCCAGTGCACAACTGGTTTAACCATTCATCCCACATCAAGCAGTAGTGGTCCTGCTGACCTCTGTCGAAATTGTTTAGTACTCCAGGACCATCCTAAAGAGAAAAGATAATCCACAACTTCCCCTTCCCAAAACCAACTGTGTCTTGTTGAAGTTGTGTTCCAGCTGTGCAGAGCTCTGTTTAGACCCTATCTAGGGAACTGTGTTTAGTCCTGGGTACCCCTTTTCAGGAAGGATATACTGGTCATGGAAGAAGTGGAATGTAGATTCACCACAAATGTTCCTGGGGTAAAAAGATTTAATTATGATAACAGGTCACACAGACTGAGTTTGCATTCCTTTGAGTGTGGACAATTAAGGGGTAATCGTAATGGAGGTATTTAAGATGATTTAACAAGCTGATAGAAGCAGTTAGAAAGAAAGAATTTCTCTGGCAGGAAGGGCAGGGGAGCAGAGTTTAGATCCAGGCTGTGTGGGGGTGATTCCCAATGTCAGTGACAGTGTGAATACCTTGTCACATTCTTACATTTAAATGGTTTCTCACATATGAATCCTCTGATGCAACAGGAGCTTTGATGAGCTGGAGAAGGATTTGTTGCACATATCGCATAAAAATGGTTTCTCCCCAGTGTGAATGCGTTGGTGCACACGGAAGCTCGATGACCTTGAGAATGATTTGCTGCACACGTCACATGTGAATGGTTTCTCACCAGTGTGAATGCGCCAGTGACTGACCAAGGTTGATGACTGTGCAAATCCCCTGTTACACACCTCACACTTGAACGGTTTCTCCCCAGTGTGCATGCGTTGGTGCACACGGAGGTTCCCCGACTTCAAAAATCCTTGGTCACACACCTCACACTTGAATGGCTTCTCCCCAGTGTGGATACGTTGGTGTTTTAGGAGTAGCGATGATTGTGTGAAGGCTCGCTCGCATACCTCACACTTGAAGGGCTTCTCCCCCGTGTGAATCCTCTGGTGTATCAGGAGATCAGAGGAGCAAGTAAAAAATTTTTCACATTCTGTACACTTGAATGGTTTCTCCCCTGTGTGAATCCTCTGGTGTATCAGGAGGCTTGTAGACTTCAAAAAGGTTTTATTGCAAACGTCACATTTGAACGGCCTCTCCCCTGTGTGAATGCGTTGGTGTGTGCGGAGATTTGAGGACACTGAGAATGATTTGTGACACACCTCACATGTGAACGGTTTCTCACCTGTGTGAATGCGCCGGTGTTTCACGAGAGCTGATGACTGTGTAAAACCCCTGTTACACACCTCACAGGTAAACGGTTTCTCCCCTGTGTGAATGTGTTGGTGATTCACAAGCGTTGATGACTGTGTGAATGCGTGGTCACACACTTCACACTTAAATGGCTTCTCTTCCATTTAGCCGTCTTTGTATTTAACTTTGTACATAAGATGCACCTTGTGGGTCAGGAGATTGTGTTGAGCTTGTGGAACCCTCCACACAAACTTGACTGCCTTGGATATGTGGGTCTTCTTCCTCTAATTTCCTGTTAAACACATTCGAGGCCTCACTGATGTAAAAGCCTTTGAGGATGAAGAATGCTATTCCCACACTAGAAATCGCTGTCAAATATTTACCAGGGGAACTGAGGGAGCAACTGCAATAAATGAGGTTTTATTCAGATGGGGCAATGACAAGTTTAAATCCCCACCTGATCTGCTGCTCAAAGTCACCTCCATTTCACCGGTCAGTTTCCCAAGCTTCCGGAAACTCATATTAGTCCGGGAATATTTGGATTGGCTGTGAGAAACGTCAATCAGAGAGCCCACCCACTCTCCCCATTCACACCTCTTCCTCTTCCAGAGCTGGTTCACTTCCTATAGGGACTGAAAACCAAGTGAGGAGATGGTGAGTGATAGAGCAGCTTTTATACAAATTGTATCCTATAATATTCACACCAATCTTCAGGCAGTCTGACTATCCTGTGGGCAATCGGGTGGAAATGTCCCTTATGCTGTGTGAGAAGATCCAGCTGAGAGAGTTATTTACTTTGTGCTGAATTGTTTGACTGGAGCTTGGATATTGTGTTTGTTGGAAGCATTTCCCTTCTGATTTCCAAGCTGAGTTTCGTTGCTGGCTCATTCGTGAATATGAGAAGGTGAGGTGTATTTGGGAGCTGGTTATTATCCTGCCAACTGTGGATAGTCAGTTCTTGTGTGTTGGCCTGAGTCTTGCTTGTCTTTTCAAACTCCTCCAAGACAACTTGCAATGTCAAAGTGCCAGCAGTGATGGACTGCATGTATGGAAGAGCAGGTGGTTGTAGCAGGTTCCCTATTCTCAAGAACAGTATTTGGGGCTTTAAGACAAGCTGAAAGTTTTTATATTCTTATTTTCATTCTGAAATTTCACGCAATTGAAATTAATATGAAATTTCAAATTGCATTAAATTCATATCCAGCACCATAGAAATTCAGCTGCTAAACCTGGAGATACATGTCTTTTTATGCCTTCTTTAAAGATTTAGAGCCTCAGGCTTTCCCAAAAACTTGGGCTTGGATTTGATAGTTTTGCCCAGTGGTATGACTGATGCCTGAATTTGAGACATAAAGTCTGAGCAAATGCAGTGTATCTAATTTCCCAAGAGAAAGCAGAATCCCTCAATCAGCTACGTTGAAGTAATATTGTAATACATTCCTTAGATTTTAGCACTTCCTGCCCAGTGTGTTTTCTTCAAATAAACTTTTGAGAAGTAAGTAGAGAATTTCAAAATCTCAATTGAAGTGTCGTTTTTCTTGAGTGTTTTTTTCTGTTAAACATATACTCCCAAAGTAAAGTATTCACCAGCATAACTCAATTCATAGTGAACTAACAGCCACTTATACATTCCAACTGCACACTTTCTAACTGAGGAGTCTGTCCCTTCAGCAAAGGAATAGAGGCAGTTGGAAGAAATCATGTTTCCTCTTCCTCTTTTACAGAAGGTTTGCACCGTACTACACCAGAGGATACAGAGGGGAAAGACACTGCAGATAGATCCTGACCATACCCCAAGAAATAACTGCACAATTGTGGGAAGACATCCAGTCCCTTTACAGCATTGCTTAACACAGAGAAGATTGCACAGTGAAACCATCATCTGGAACTCAGTTGGGTCAGAAGAGCTTTGACACAGCATCAGATCTGAAACTGGTCAGTGGCATGGAGCCTTCCAATAGAAACAGCCTTTCTGAAGGTTCGGCTGTGAGGGACTGGTCAAAGTGAGGCTGGGAAGAAGTGTGAGAGGCTCCAACTATAATGACAGCTTCAATCATTCATGGAGACTTATGAACCACTAACTCATTCCCACAAGGGAGAGGCTGTTCTAATGTAAGACAGGAAGAAGGCTCTATAGGTGCATCTATTATACAACTGCTAACACTAGGACAGCCACATGGAAGAGAAAGTTCTAAGGTTTGAGATGTCTGAGAGGTTTTGCAGAGCCATTAACCCTCATGAATCTTCGATGCATTCACAAAGCGGAGAAGCCGTAAAAATGTGAGGTTTGAAACAAGGGCACTATGCAGTTATCAGTTTTTGTGAACCACCCAGAGAAAAAGCCATATCAGGTGGCAGATATGCAACAGTTCATTCTTGCAGTTGCCAAACTTTCACAAACACGATTGAATTTGCATGGGGGAGAAACTCTTTAAGGGCGAATTGTGTAACACATCATTCCTCACTTCATCAAGGCTCAGAGATGGGTCAGAAGCCATTCACGTGAAAAAATGTAATAAAGCAATTTCAGTGCCATCATGCCTCTGTGTACACCAAAGCATTGACACAGGGAAGAAACCATTCACATGTAAGATATGCAACAAATCATTCCCATCAACATTGAAACTCCATGTACACCAAAGCATTCACATGAGGGAGAAACTATTCATGTGTGAGGTATGCAACAAATCATTCCCATGATCAGAGCACCTCCATGTGCATCAAAGGATTCACACAGGAGAGAAACCATTCATGTAACGTGTGCGACAGATCGCTCTTGCAATTAGGTTACATGAATATATCCACACTGTTCAAGTGTGAGGCATGTGACAAATCATTCTCTGACTCATCACAACTCCTGCGCAGTCAGAGGATTCAGGGGAGAAACCATGTAGGTGACAAAGCATTCTCTGTATTATCCACCCTCCACAGACACCAATGCATTCACACAGGAGAGAAACTATTCATGTGCAATGTGTGCAGCAAATCATTCTTGCAATCATGCAGCCTCCTGCTCTATCAGAACATCCACACAGGCAAGAAATCATTCATGTGCAAGGTATGTGACAAATATTCTCACCATCTTCCCAGCTCCACGTATATCAACATGTCCACACGGGGGAGAAATCACTCATGTGTAGGTTATGTGACTAATCATTCTCATGGTCAGACAGCCTTGGCAGACACTAGCAGCTTCACATTGCAGAGAAATCATGAGCGTGGGAGAACTGCAACAAACCGTTCCCTAGGCATTGCACTGTCCTGCATTATCAGAGGATCCAAATGGGAAGTAACCCCTCAACGCTATGGAGAGATGGTGCTGCCACTGGATCAGTAATCCAGAGCCAATAAGCTAAAGTTCAGGGGTACATAAACTGAATACAATCTGGAATTAAAAGCTAATCTAATGTAAGCTATGTAAACATTGTCAGCTGTAAAAATTTGTATTGTTCACTAATACCCTTTAGGGCAGGAAATCTTCCCTTTGTACCTGGTTTGCCTTCTGAAATTGCCGAGTAAGCCATTCAAACTGCTACAAAGCTTAAGAAAATAAATAAACCAGACAGACCATCCAACATCGACTTAGGCAAATCAAGGGAAAAACTGTCCACTCATTGGAGATGCTTATGGGTGTTGTAGGTCAATCAACTCATCTCCAGGATATCTCTGCAAGAGTTCCTCAAGTGAGGCATTTTCCAATCAACCTGTATAGCAATGTTATTACACGCCTCTGGAAGAGGTGGGACTTGAACTCAGGCCTCCTGGTTCAGAGGTAGAGACATTACCACTGTCCCTCAAGAGTTCTTCAGGCTAGAGTCCTAGGCCCAACTACTTTCAGCTGCTTCATCATGACCTTCCCTCCCTCACAAGGTCAGAAATGGGGTTGTTCCCCAATGGTTGTACAATATTCAGCATCATTTGTGACTCCTCAGATACTAAAGCAGTTCACATCCAAATGCAACAAGACCTGGACAATATCCAGGCTTGGGCTGAAAAGTGGCAAGTAACATTTGCACCACACAAATGCTTGGCACTGACCATCTCCAATAAGAGACAATCTAACCACAGCCCTGAACATTTAATGGTGATACCATGTCTAAGTCCCCACTATCATATAGCCTGTGTGTCACCATTGACCAGAAACTCAACTGGACTCGCCATATAAATATAGTTCCTATAAGTGTAAATCATAGGTTAAGAATACGGCACTGAGTAACTCATCTCCTTACTTTCTGATGCTTGTACACCATGTGGCAGCATGATGGCTCAGTGGTTAACTCAGCTCCAGGAGCCCGGTTTCAATTCCAGCCTTGAGAAACTGTGTGGGGTTTGCATGGTTCTCCCTGTGTCTGTGGGGTTTCCTCCAGGTGCTCCGGTTTCCTCCCACAGTACAAAGATGTGCAGGTTAGGTGGATTGGCCATGCCAGGTTGTCCCCTAGTGTCCAGGGATGTGCAAGCTACGGTCTGGTGGGATGCTGTTTAGAGGGTCGATACAAACTTGATTCACTGAATGACACTCTTTCTGCACTGTGGGAATTCTATATGTTCTTTATATCTTCAAGACAGTTGGGAGTGTGATAGAATGCCCGTCAACTGACTGGATGAGTGCAGCTCCAACAATACTCAAGAAGCTTGACACTATCAATGACAAAACACCACATCCATTCCCTTCACCAGTTACACTCAATAGCAGAATTATGACAACATGCAATGCAGAAATTCACCAAAATGCTTATGCAGCTCCTTCCAAACCCATGACACTTCCATCTAAAAGGACAAGGACAGCAGATACATGGGAACATTACCACCTTCATGGTTCCCTTCAAGCCACTCACCATCCTGACTTGGAAATATATCACTGTTCTTTCAGTGTCACTGGGTTAAAATCCTGGAATATCGTCCCTAATTGAATTATGGGTGAACCAACAGCACATGGATTGCACTGGTTCAAGAATGAAGCTCACCACCACTTCCTCAGAGATGTGCATTAAAAAGTGTAATAAATACCAGCGAGCAAGCTGGAATTTATTGCACCCATGTGCTATGAGTGGATAATAAAAAATCTCATACTCAGGAATATTTGGCACCCAGACTTGTCCTTCTTTGAGTCAGGTTTCCATCATCACCACCACCACAACATGACGATTCAACTTTGCAATCTGCATCTGTAACTTCCCAACTTCATTTACTACAGTCCATATATTTACAGACATTCACATGATTTGGTCTTTGCTTCTTTCTCCCTGATTCTAACTTCACCTATTCAACTTACTGCTCTCTATGCTAGCACTAGCTATGCCTTTCATTATTTTGCATGCTCTGGTATCTCCTCTACTGTTTTTTCTTGGTCTCCACTCCCCTGCCAAATTAATTCAAAGCCCTCACAGTAGCACTAACAAAACATCTCATAAGTAATTCAGTCCCAGTTCAGTTTAGGTACAACACATCTGTCTTCAAGAGGTGCCATCTTCCCAAGAACCAGTCCCCAGAGAACCTAAAGCCCTCCCTCCTGCATCATCTTTCTAGCCACATATTCATTTGCTTATCCGCCAATTTCTGTAATCACTTGCACATGGCTCTGGGACTAATCCCAAGACTGCTACATTGCTACTTGTGAACTTTCTACCTCGCTCCCTAAATTGCAATTGTAGGACAACATCACCCTCCATAAGCCATTGACACCAACATGGACCACATGTCTGGATGGGCATTTTCCCCTCACAGAATATTGTGTAGCTAATCTATGAAATCCTTAACCCTGGCACCAGGGAGGCATCATACCATCCTGGAGTCACATTGAGGGCCACAGGAATATGTGGCTGTTCTGATAACTAATGAACTGCGTATCACTGCTGTTCCTCCTTTCTCTGCCTCCCCTCTTGTATCTTCAGGCCACTTGTAGTGCAAGTACAGTCAGGAGCATTTACATGCTTGAATAAACCAACAAACAAAGAAACTAGAGTCTTGTCTGATCACTGTAAGTGAGGAGGGTGGTTGAACTCCCACTTCAGACCTCATAAATGCATTTTACACCTCCGGTTGATTTATGTTGTCTTTCAAAATTGTGATATCAGAACTTCATCTTAGATCTCAGTCTTAACTGGGACAGGGCCTAAAGTTCAGAGCTTCAGTACAAATGAGGGAGATGTTTTTGAAACTAGGAACATCAAGCCTCTATAATGTTACCTTGCCACCGGATACAGAAAACAAATGTAGAATTTATATTGATAGAAGTCAGAGAGAGTGATTGGGGGTTGATCTAAAAGTCATGGGGGCGCACTCTATAGGGGTGGCATGGTGGCTCAGTGGTTAGCACTAGTACCTCACAGCACTAGGAACCCAGGTTCAAATCCAACCTTGGCCAACTGTCTGTGTGGAGTTTGCACATTCTCCCTGTGTCATTGTGGGTTTCCAGCAGGTACTCTGTTTTCCTCCCACAGTCCAAAGATGTGCAAGTTAGGTGGATTGTCCATAGAGTCCAGGGATGTGTAGGTTAGTTGCATTCGCCGCAAGAAATGCAAGGTTACAGGGATAGGGTCGGGGAATGGGTCTGGGTGGAATACTCTTTGGAGGGTCAGTGTGGACACGAATGGCCTGCTATCACACTGTAGGGATTCCATGAAATATACATCGAAAAATGACTCTCCATGTTCTTCAATATACAATACTACAAATTGAGGTACGTCATCATGATAGACACTGACAAAGTCTATCCTCTCATCCGTATTCCGAGTAAACTATTTCTCGAATTCATTAACACGAGACTCACCATCTGTGGAACTCCAAATTTGACAATGTTCCTAGATATAGAAAAAATGACCTAAAAAAAGACAAAAATAATTACCCTCATTGAAAAATAACAGAATCTGAAGAATACATAATAGTTCTCCACGAACCGTGTAAGAATATGTATACCCGCCACAAGTCCGAGATGTAAAATCCAGGATTGTGATGCACTCCTTCCTGCCATGCTCTGTACCTGGAGACCAAACCAACCAGAGACTCAGCTTCGAACCCGTCACCTTGCTGCTGAAATTACCGAGAAAGTCAAAAAGACACATTGACTATAAAAACCCATTAGCAGATTGCTGGTTTTTAATGAGTCACTAACATGGATATGTAATTTATCTGGTAGGACAACAATAGACGTTGGACACTGGCTTTGTCTATAAAAGCTGTGACCACAACTTCCACATCACAGACACCATTAGAGCGGGTTTCACACAAAATAATCCAAAGTTTCAACTCCTTCCTCTGAAAAATATTCCTGTAATTTGCGTTAAAATGGTTTAATATTGAGAAAACAATCTTTCGAATGGAAAGATCTGTCCCAAAATCTTGTGGAAACCCAACATCTCCAAAAATATCTCGGACGTTGCAGCAAAAACTCACATTTGGTGAATAAACGTCAGAGAGATTTTCTCTGGAAGTGCCTTCCTTTGTTTGATGGAGTGAGGGACAGGTCACCTCCTCAAACAATAACTGAATTACAGCCCCAAGCCCAGAGAGCTCCCCCTTCACTGAGGTTGTTTAAA